ACACCTGGCGATTCTAACGTATATGTAAATTTTGAAAATAATGTGACACGGCATAAAATACGCACAAAACTATGAAGTACAAAACAGCACATCATATTGGCAGGCGAATTTCTTGTTGTTCATTGCACGACTTTGTCTACCGGACTTCATCTTGCTGGATATTTCGTCGTAGTCTGTAGAACCCGTGTGTTCATGTCTAAACTGGATAACCTGGTTTACATCAAAAGCAAACTACGGCTAAGCCGATCAGGCAAGTGCCCAACGAACAGGCCCAGTTTTAAATTAGAGTTTCGATTCTGCGAGCAATCCCAGAAATGGAATGATTCAAGTAATCGTCGATTCGGGCCACTTTAGAAACCTTAGGGTCGAGAACTGGTTCAAACCATCTTCGAGGCCTAGCATAAGACGGAGATGCTTTCTTTACAAATAATACCAGTAAGGCGATCTATTACGCATAATTTCATAATTTTCTTGAGCAAGTGTGTATGATAATGGTCACCAAGCCAAGGGTGGCTTTCTACGTGCGTGGCTACTCCGTTTGAACTTCTGAAAGTCTATCGCCCCCAGCTTGGCGGAACGGCACACTGCACGAGCTCCGTGACTACGATGTGACTTCAGGCGCAACTTTATTACAGAGCTAACAGGCTACGATTTCAACTTATAATTCCAGTTGTCTGTTTATCTACGTGTCACTCCGAGCGCTGAATTGATTGAGAAAGATCCACGGTTTCATGTGGCATGAATGTCGTTCGATGTCATCCAAAAACCTTCCCCAATCGACAGATCTTCGAACTGCGAATTTCCCCCAATTAGCTTAATTCGCAGCTCGAAGAACTATCGATTGGGGAAGGTTTTTGGATGCCATCGAACGACATTCACGCTACATCCGTAGCCCCCCCCCCCCCCCGGTGCAGATGGCATCAAACAACATTCACACAACATCATACATCACTCGATCGAATCCAGTCTGAATGACACTTACAGGCTTTGATGGATGCCTATTCGCTTCGAAGCCCACGTTGCAGAGGTGGCAAACAATGTATTGGCCGAAAGAATGCAATTCTTGCTATTAGGGCTCGGGATAGCAATTTTACGGGAGCAACCGAGGTTTTTGGCACCAAATAGTATGCTCTGTCTGGAGGGGCACGGTAGTCTGATCAAATTGTTTTCGTCTCACGACTACCAACGACATTGGAGTACTTCGCTAACATCCGGGGGCATATCACGACAATCAAAGAGGAATCCGACCGCTATCACGATCGCTGGAACTTTAACTATTCACCGCTTCGTTTGCCTAGCAAGTGATGCCTAGCAAGTGATAAGAAGCGCTATGAATCCAGACGGCTTCGTGAGCGATACCTTAATGAAAATTCTGGCTGATTATAAAGTTCTTAGTAAATGCAGCATTTTAGCATGTCTTGTCATTTTCGGATCCTGAATTTGTTGGCGTCGCAAGATGTGCAACACTGCTATCATATCTGTCAAAATGTTGATATCCTCCATAGTTACGCCGATATGCTACACTTGGTAGCGTGGTCACACCTTCTAGTTAACGTGACACGCGTCACAGACACCCCTACCAACTTGAAAACTAGTCGTTCGCAGCGGTCGTGGCGGTAGAGTGGTCTTGCGTACTGGAGTTGATGTTGACGCGCTAGCCGTGCGGCTGCCTTTTTGTGTCAGCACCACTAGCCATAGGATTCGAGCGTCATCTCGTCCTTACCAGTCGTTCCGATGGCAAAGCACAACTTAGTTGTCACGGCCAGAACTTACCACGTCAAAGTGCTGATCTACGCCACAGAGGGACACTGTAAACGCCTTGCTGGTTGGGGGATATTCTAGTGTGTTGAAGATTCAGTGTCCACGAATTTGGTTTGAGATCATTGCATTAATGCCGTGGTTTGAAGAAACAGCAGTATGTCTTTAGCATTCTGTTGTACTTACAAGTACTTGACGATTCGAGAGGAAAACTGTTCCCCATTGTACGGTTCATAGCACATGATTTTTCCGTTGCTGTATACAAATACTGCTTTGAGAAACTATCTACCAAGTAACTTGCAGTTTGGCGAGTTACGAAAACGAATGGTGGATGATTCAACCATTCATTCGTTGCTTTTCACCATTAGCTCGTTGCGCTTCTGGCAATTCTTCTTTCATATCACTGAAACGTAATCCCGTACAAGTCGTCCTCTAAATCGTCAATATATAAGTCGTCTTCGCCAATGCATGAAACGCACGATACTACATAGATTGAGTGTCGCTTCTATCTTATAGCTGCATTTACACTTTTTAGTAAAAAAAAACCTTGTCCGCACTTATCTTTCAATGCACTAGTTTCGCACGTGCAGCAGTTCATATCTTGGCAAGGAGACAGGAAAAGGTTTGCAGCAACGTTTACGCTTTCCTAGTCGCCAGGGGGCCTTGGTGGTGCTATTACGCCAATCGTTGTAGCTCGCGAGGCAGGAAGCGTGTAGATAGGTAGGTACGGCATCCACAATCTGAACGGGTAGGTCGAATTCGAAATGCGGAAGTCATGTTCGTTCATCACGATTGATGTTTAGCTCTACTGGGACAGAAAGTGATATTGGCTCAGTTACCAGCTTCAGTAACCGGGTCACCAAGAGAAAGACAGATAGTGGCACGGGACCACGGATACCGGCCTCCGTTACCGGCTTCAGTTACCGAGGTGCGAATTAACCCGATTTGGGCTGCCTAGCAGCGTGACCTATCGGCCACTGCTATCCCAGTATAACACAATATGTACGTTGTTCGTCGCACTAGTGGTGTCTGATAAATAGAGTCATCGATGTTAATGATGCTAACCTTGAGCACAACTAGTGTCATTACAACATTACTGCATCGTACTATACTACATGCAGCTCCAGAGCGCTCAACACGGTACTTATCCATTAGCGTTAAAACTATCAATTCGATCTGTTCATTCGGTCTGAGTCATAACGTATACCCTCCTCTTTCAGACACAGATTTTCTTCTGCATGCATAGTTTCTCAGATAGATTAATTGAAAATCGTGTGGTCACCTGAGTTTGCAATTGTCGGCAGGCTGATATTATACATGTTTTGTGTGAATTCCCACACTCATTGGAATGGGTCTGGATGGATTAGATATAACAATCCAGTAAAACTTTGCAAAAAAAATTACTTAAAGTTTTTAAGGTTGTGCGATCCAAGATGGGAAGTATAGCTTGATTTTTTTTCGGTTAACATATTTTTATCCAAAGCCAACTCTATCCGCCGGCAACGCGGTGAAGTCCTATACGGTGGCGAACGAATTTATTCAGCGGAGACTCAAAGAGAACTGCACCTGGAGGTACTGTATGCCATCTCCGGAGAAAAGGCTGCAAGTTGGTGCAAAAAGAATGACGAATGACGACCGTGTATAAAATTGGGAGAAGCCTATTTCAAATTCATCGAGCTATTAATGGCTCGTGTGGGGCCATTAAAAGGTAGATTTTATCTACGAAGGCTTTGTATTATTGAAGCTTGCCCTACATTGCGACCAGCAGAGACCCACCGAGCACATTTACTACTGGTGGTGTACAATAATCTACTAATTGATCCTGTTCTTTTCAAAATAACTTCTAAGTACACAGTTACCGTGCTACATGCATACGATACGTTCCGTTAAATACTTGATAAATGGCAATAACACACTTGGACGAGTCGAACCTGACAGGTTTCTTTGTTGTTATATGTTCAGGCGACCTGGGCAAAATATGTGTGCGGTTGCGCCATGTTTCATCAAACAGCGTTTCAATGCTCCTACGTCGTCGCTGTACGTGCCAGATTTCTGTGCGAGAGGAAGACCGGGCGGACAGTGTCAAAGCGAAGGACAAACACCCGGTGCATCATACCATAACACGCGATTGGGATCTGCTAGACCATCAAACTTAAGCCCTTGGACGCGGAGGGGTGACATGGACGGCATAAAAAAAAAACGCTTCAACCGTCCTGGACGGCATAAGAAATCGTATGAGACTCAATATGATGTAGTGAACGCGAGTATAAATATGGCTTTTCTTCACAAATTTGTTGCTAAGCTTCCTGGTAATAGTTCCGCTAGAAGAGACTGGTGTGATCTACGGATAAAAATCCTCCAATGAGCTGTTCACAGTGCATTCTATGCAACACTGATATTTAGAGAAACGTTGCGCCTGAACGGGTACACATTCGGCTCTATCTTACATGTAACACAATGGATATTATGGTATTGTCGCTTTGATGGTTGCTACAAGTGATAGTCCTCTACGACCCCCACTACACTATAAACAGCGCGCTCCAACGGTGCCAAACAATGCAAAAGAAGAAGATCAACTACAGAGTAAGTTGATGTTGTCTTTGCACGCCGACATTGCCCATAGAGATAGCACGACACGTTCGAGCATTCAAACCGTATGAATTATGTGTGTGAGCACGATAGGAGCAACATGAGAAGAAGCACATTGCAATGTAATGTACGAGAGGGGCTATATTCACTTGCTAGTTTCCTGCACTATAGTGCAACTCGCATTGCTACGGTTGTGGAGGATGTGACTTGGTTTCGAAGCGAGAAGGCATCCTGTCCTGATCCTGTCTGCATAAAGTCAAACTTGTAAGCGGACCGCGTCAGCATTCAAGTAAAAATCAACTTTCACCCATACCTTCAACGCGTAATCGGCGTCCTCTCATCTTGAATGTAAAACTTGAAGCCCGCACCATTCCTTACTCAGCGGCGGTCGATACCTTAATATGCGCAGCGGGCTCCTCTTCAGCTCGTCTTCTGTGCCGTCCGTTCTTGGGCAGCACTCAAACGTTAATCACGTTGCCACCGGAGGCGATGCTGCTCTTGACCTGTCGTTCATGTAGACATGTCGTCGTCCCAACAGCCAGTGCCATGTACATCTTCGTAAAACATTTCGATAAGCAGAAACCAATCTCAATCAGTATAAGCCATTCCGTCAGCATAAAGCGCATATAGTATACCTTCCGCGTCAGCAAGCCATGGACATTCACGGTAATCGACGCCTGTTGGAGATACTCGAGTCCCCATGGTACCAGAACCGCCTACTGAATGCAACAAAGGTTACTCCAATCGCAACAAGCATCCCAACGATGCAACGCATACCGTTAGCGCACGTAACGAGCCTCTCGTCCATCTGGGACTTGCACGGAAGCAATCCCACCGCGCCGATGTCATCCCAAAATGCCACTTTGTCTCTTGCTGCGCCGAATGAAGAATGAGTCGCAGCAGCAAGAGGGGAACCGATGTTTGATTTTTTTTCCTGAAAAATGGTTCGTGCTTGTGCGCGGTAGTTCAACTACCCTGATAGTCATATGTTCTTGATGCCCAATCAAATGACCACTTTTTGACACGTGGACCAATGATATCCAAGCTCATATGGGAAAGGATGATAATCCCTTTTTGCGGATTTAGAGTTATAGTGAAATCCAGTGTTTCTTATGCTGTTCAGAACAGCATTTCCAACCCTCCGCGTCCAAGGGGTAAAAAAATTTTGGTTACCCAGCAAGTTCAGCTGAGCCGTAGCTTGGTAGCACTAAATATTCGAATTCACGGATGTTTCTTGTATTATCACCACTGGTAAGCACAATACTGCAATCTAAGAAATAAAGGATTCTGCCTGGGCATCAGCGCACATTTCAGAGGCAGGAAGGAAGGAAATTACGTTGATTAGCTAGTTGTTGATAGCCGTTCTACTAACCATGTCGGCTAGCTATTTTCAGATAATTATTGCATGGATATGTGGCTCAATAAGCATCGAACTCGTTCAGACCTCATACAAACAGGAACATACCCAGGTGAAGGCGTGTTTCTTGCCTCTCTGGTAATAGATCGACCCCTGTGTATCGGCAAGTAGCAAACTGATCGCGAGCGAACCGCGAACTGGAAGATGTTGTTGGTCGGTAGGCGATGCTACAGGAGAATGCAAGTTTGAGAGCAGTAATTTTGCATCCTAGACTATGTTAATAACTTACATACTTAAAGTAAAGCAAAAGTAGCGCCACCAATATAAATACGCAAGCCCTACCGATCAAGCAAAGATCCAGAGCTAGTTTATTTTTTTATCACGATTGGTGATGTATAATTCTCTCGCTGACATTCGTTTCTAGCTATTCGTGTGCGAATGAACCGTAGCACTTATCGTAGGTTGAAACCGAATTTTCACCGGCTATGCCAATCCCTTTTTAAATCCTCATGTCGTCCCCCCTATTGGGGACCCGGGTGGTGGACCCGGGGGGTTTCGCAATTCGAAGCTAGCATGTACAGATACCCTTATAGGGAAACGATGTGCTCGGGCGTCTTCTGCCTAATCTACCACTGTACAACCAAGTGTACCAAGATTGATCGCTTCTTTTAAAGGCATTGCCAGTTCATATATCGTCACTCCAACGAATTGGTACTTCAACGCTTGGGTTGGCAAACCCACCGTGGTGAATTTACCTCCCCCTGCTCGTCGGATGAGGACTCCACGGATTTAGTTTTAACTTTAGTTCTTTTGCACGTCAGAACCATATTATTTTGTGGGGGATGGGAACGGATCTTAATAGGGGTATGGTGGGGGGAATGGTCCCCATTTCCCAAGTAGATAGGCATGTGTATCTCTCAACATGCGATTCGCATGCTTCAGCATTCTGATCACTGATTGGCTTAGAATGGAGTGTCTTTCTCAAGCGGCGACATTGCTCTACTGCGAACACAGTGCCGGAATAAAGATTTGGGGAAACCACAAAAAACGCCCGTAATTTAAAAATATATTCCCAAAAAGGATCGGTGCACTGATGATTTGTAGCGTTAGATTCAAAATATAACATATACTGTTTTCTAGCTTTCGTATGCCTGTTGCATATCCAATAAACTTGCTGTAACCTATAGCTGTCACGCAAACAAAATGAGTGAGCTGTTAACGTAACAAATCATCAGTGCACGGATCTGTTTTGGGATTATTTTAAAATTCGTGGTACCCGGACTAATGGTCTTGGGGATTCGCAGTTCTCAGAGCGACAAGATATAGAATTCCGACAGCACGGACACACCCGCCAGAGTGCACCGTGCGGATACTTTCAACCGGCACAGTTAACATCATGTATGGGTGTTAGCTTCGAATATTGGTGATTGTTAGAAATTTAGAGCTCTAAATGAACACAATATACCTCGCCATGAAAATGAAATGAAACCACGGCACTGCGATCGAGGTATACTTAAGTATCCACAGCCATCTCCTGTGGCTGCTTCAGAGCCACAGCATCTGCCCGGCATCGCTTGACAGTATAAGAAACAATTAAACATCTAAACAATAAACACGTAGGCTGCCCTCACGTGCCAACCACGGGCTCCGTATTATCTCCGTGGGTGACGAAAGCTTAATGACAATGAGCTCTTTGATTAATGCAGCATCTCCGCCGCAAATATTAAGTAAAGTGAAAGCTCTTGTATTCTCATGGCTGTAACGATGTCGCCTGACTGTAGCGTGAATGTCGTTTGATGACAAACTCGCATGGGCCGCCTAACGGCAGTACTGTGGATTACGGGCGTATTTTGTCTTCCCTAATGATTTTGAAGGCCACGGCACCACATGCCAGTATTAGAGCACTGCCACTAGTGGGGGCAAAAGCTGAGTAAAAGTGATATTTCCACCCAAAATACAAACTAAGTTACATGCTGGCACCCGTCTGAGAAAACGTGGAGTATACCGACATTTACCTGTCATAAGGGCCAACCCAAATGCATATCGGGTTAGGGTTTCTGCTTCAGGTGATCACAAGCAAAATGCATCGTACTTAAAGAGAAAGGTTCTGTATGTGTTTGGTCTTCCAGGCCCCGCGGGGTCCGCCTATGGAGATGGTGACTGGAAATGGGCCGCCAACGCCGGCCTCCCAGCATACTAGTCGCACTAACTAGGCTTAGATGATAGGGAATGAAGTACCCAACAAGCGCCTCCCCTTGGCAGCTGTCGGAGAGGCGTTCTGCTCACTACTACCGCCCGCTTCGTGCCGCCAACGTGGTCGTGGTCGTCAGCTCCAATCATTTTGATAATACCGCTGGACCAATCAGATTGGTTTCGTACTTTAGGATCTTAATACTGTACTCTTTGCCCTTATGACAGAAACGAACAACTCGACTACCCATCACGACCGCTGATTGGACAAAAGTGCTTTGCCCTTATGACAGGAATGGCCCTTAAGACAGGTAAATGTCGGTATTCCCCCACGGGGTCATCTTCGCCATTTTGGCAGCATCCGCTTTGCTCTGTAGCCTCCGGCACTGCCGCTCCATTCCTGCCGCTTTCATCGGTAGCCTCCGTCGTAGCCTCTGTCCCTTCTTCTGTAATCTCCGGTGTAACCTCATCACGCGGAGAGCTTCTTCTGTAGCGTCCGTCGTAGCATCTACCGCTTCTTCTGTAGTCTCCGGTGTAGCCACACCATGAAGAGCGTTTCTTCTGTAGCCTCTTCAGTAGCCACTGCATCAGCTACAATATAGCGGTAGACCCGGCTGTAGCCGGCTTCGTAGGAACCGATGAGGTTGTGCGCTGACTCCGCAATCGATCTGCCAATCGGGCCACACGCGAGAGCTCATAGCGTCGTCTGGGTCGGATCACCAGGTCTGGTAATCAACATCGCAACGTAGAATCAATATACCACTAGTACGATGTTACAGAGCAAAGTACACGCTCTCGCTTACCTGTAGATCACAATGGCGCTCATCGTGATCGTCTTCGGCCATGGTCCTTGGCCACTTGGGCACGCTCGACGGGCCCCAACAAAGCTTGCATTGCGACGTCTTGAACAGCGCAGTTTCGGAATGAAGGAAAGTACGAGTGTCTGACACGCGGCGGTTTTAGGCTTCCACCCGAATTTTCAAACCTGTTGGTGGTTTATACTCGTCCGTCTATTACCGCGGAATAAACCCTGTTTATCTTCCCATCGCTAATCTAACAGGAAGATGTGCACAATACCGGCTATACAAGCATCCACATGCGAAGTTCGAAAGAGAGGACAAGTTTGCTGGATATTATGTCCTGTGACAATGCTTATTCTGTAGGATACAGAATACGGGGTTAGAGGGGTTAAAGAGGCCCGGAGATATATGTCATTGCTTTAGAATACTGACATATATTTTTCAGAAATATGGCCGGACAGAATGGCTCATGCCCGGTGGGCATAATTGCGGCGCAGCGGTGCTGGTGCCGTGTTCAGCAGTACTACTTGCATGTTGAGCCCGGTGCGAAAAACACTATAAACTAAATCCTACCAAAGAGAGCGCGCCCGCCTCCTATTCGCCTCCTATGCTGGATACAGGTGCGTTCACGGAAGCTACTATACTATCTAATGCTCTGAGCTCCGCCTAGCACTCTGCCGGCAAGAGCTCTTGCGATATTTGCAAACGGAAAGAGGCGTTTGATGCTGCCAACAAGGAGCTAGCAGCATGCGCGACCTGCTAAGGCTTAGTTTACTCTTCCGCGATCGCTACCAAGGCGCCCGCACACGCACTGCGAGGCTCGCAGCGACGCTTGCCACATGTTCAGAAGCATGGTCTAATGTGTGTGCACGACGTTCGACATCTGCTACTGCTTGACCCTCCTGGTGCTGACGAATCTGGTGATCGCGGCGTGGCTATCCTTGCTGCACCCGATTTTCATATTGCCAAGCTGGGTTCGACCTTCAGCACCTCCTTCTTGACCTGGCATGCTGTCTCCGATATTTGGCCCACTTGCGTGGTGCCTCCGTGCAACTGCAGTGGACCAGTATCGCGCGGCCGGGCCCGACTTGCGCGTGTACGGCGGCCTCGACTACTTCACGCAGTTCAACAAGAAGATAGACACGTATTATCTGGAGCAGGGTTTCTATTGAAAAGGACCAGGTTTACATTACGATTCCGAGAAAGCAACAATAAGCAGTGGTGTTTTACGAGGACAGCCAAAGCCAATATGCAGTGGCGTGACCAAGGTACAGGCGTTTACAGCGGACAACGAGGACCAAGATGCGGACAAGCAGCACTCGGTCGACAAGCAGTACAAGGACAGCAAGAACAGCAAGTACATCATGGACGCCGATGAGTGAGCCGAGCGAAGACAGTAGGATCTGGTGAGCATGGGTGCGAGCTACAACGAGATGGATACAGCGAATGCGGGCGACACGACCAACGGCATGTGTGTATGTATTTCTTGACTGAGCTTCTCGCTCGTACGTAGTGTATCTTGCCTCACAGTGTAGCCGTACACCTAATTAGTATGAAGTGGACAACCCCTTTAGGACAATTCCACTACTGTGGGAAAACCTCCGGCACTCACTGCCATCACGGGACGAACGACCCACATTGCAATATGCACACTACCTAGCGACCAACCGTGGGAATCAGTACATATTCGCAACAGCCCCACCTACTGGTTGTCACGTAGACGCTTGGTCCTCCTTGACCAATCTCTATCAGCATCAGCATCCCTGCTGTGCTTGTGCATTTGCATCTCTTCATCATGACGACGGTCAAGGATCTGATGGTGACCTTGGGTGTATTGAGATTGTGGTGATGACCTCTACGTTTGGGACTACATGGTCACTACGTTTGAGACTGCACATCGCCTTGCCAGACCTCGCATGAATTGTTTTTGGCGTTGGTAGCGGATTTGTTAATCGAGCTGAAGGGCGCGGCTGGAGAATACCGTCGAGGAGATCGTGGTGCTGCAGCAGTGAACGGCGCTAAGTTCTCAAGCAAAATGAAGAAGATATAAAGTCGGAAATGCTGGACCCTCTAAGTTGCACGATCTCAATCAGCAAGACGGGACTCTCAAACTAGCAGTTAAGCGGATTTGGACGTGTCAATGATGACCACCGGCTAGGGTGAAAGATGTAAGGTCAGGCCACAAAAAATGATGAAGATACGTGGACAGGTGGGGTCACTGCAGAGAGCGACATGATCAATGATCCCAAGATCAGTCGGTAGAAGTGGATGGTGCGTGGCACCAATCGCATGAGCTGAGAGAATATACGAAGGTGGTCTGAAGGCTCCCGAGCGTAAGTGCTTAGAGCTGTGGTGCTGTGGATGGTGTAAAGCACTAGCCGTGGGTTCACTAAGTGATGAAGTGTTGGCGTGCGACGCCATACTGAGAGTTCCCATTATGAAGGTGTGGCAGCGGGTGGTACCAGGTACCAGCTGTAGAGCAAGTGGCGGAAACCAGAGGCATAGTGAAATCTTCCACATCGAGCTTCTTGTTGCGGTTTTGGCGTGCGATGCTTAGCCGTATTTGTACGCACAGTTGCTACTTGGAGCGTGAGGAGATACTCGTGGATGGCGCACTCAATGGCGGTCGATCTGAGAGATAACTTCAATGTGTGGAGTTGCTGACGATGACTGGGAAGCCACGAGGTTCGAATGCTTTGAAGAAGCGTGAGAATGGCAAAGAGCGTGGAGTGACGATGCACACCACGTATCCCACGTGAGCTCGCACGGTAGGACGGCACGGACGATGGCCAGCAAGCAGCAGACCAATAACACGATGAAGTCCAAAGTGTGTGTGGGCTTGTGAGGCGGCCTGAAGTGCTGCGAAAGGAGCTCCAAAAGGTTATCGTCGCGTGAAGGCGCCATCATGAGTGTTGCGTCGAGGAAGGACGACGACAATCGAAAGCTTCTCGAAAAGGTGGGGCCATGAAGGGCAAACTACCGCAACGAGATGTAGAGAAGCAGTGGACGGTGCTCGAAACCGGCTGCAGGTGTTGCAAGTAGGACACCGTGAGAGTGGAGAACGCAGTGGGTGGTACATGACACCAGCCGCTGGTTTTTTTTTTACGTAACCAGCGCAGTGGGTGTTGTACGGCACCAGCTGCAGTTGCCAGTGAGCGACTACACCTTTGCCACCTCAAACCGACCAAAGTACAACACAAAGGGAACAGCACTGAAAATTTCTATTTTCATTTCTAAAATAGAATTAGAAATAGAAACTCAAAACTTTGACTTTGCCTCAAAGTGGATGCTGTACACACCAAAGTGGTCAAGTTCCGTACACCATCGGCTCACCGCGCTTCGCAGCGGCGACTGCCTGGGCGCAGTGCAGCGCCATCCTATTCACAAGGCGTAGGTCCATGCAGTTCATGCAGACCTTCGCAGCTTGCTCCAGCAGCTGCATGCGCAGCTCGGTCATCTGACCACGGGGGGCCAAATTGAATTGCACTAAGACCACCTTAACCCCCCAACGCCTAAGCCATTTTTCGGACATAATCGAATTTTTCAGATGTTGTACGATACAGCTTGTTATAGACACCGGACACTTAATTTCACTGTGGTCCCGTTAACGTACGTGGCGTTTTTCTGAAAAACGCGACATGATACCTCTCAGCAAATCCTCTAGCATGTTGTAGGTACAGCGTGGCTACGCTAATCATGTTGTAAGGCATACCATGATATCGATTTTGACAGGGTGATGCAGTGACCTTTTTATCAAGAAACTGGCCTGATGAGACAGAGACGGCTAAAAGAGGAGGACACATCATCATATCAAAAGACAAAACGCATACTTGCTCTCCTAACTGGCCAATGGCCTTCCTCGCTACAGTGTTCACGGTAATTAATCTGAGTTCAAAAATAGTCTGTGTTCATTATTAGTCTGAGTCAGACTATTTATTGTGCTAGCGAAAATTTGGAATTCATAAATAGTCTGACCACTTCAAGTTCAAAATCAGTCTTACCAGTCCGGTGCAAATTGCTAATAATCGCGCCTGGGTTCGAGTCACCCATTACACGTTTTTCTCCTTTGCAAGTGCTTTTTTGTTTGTGGTTCTCGAAGTCCCGACCAGGTGCAGACATTTATAGGGAACAAATATTACCACCCGACATGCCTGATGATACCTCCGCTCTGGTGGTAGGGGTGAAAGGCCGCGGCAATTAGAAGCTGAGATCCCTTAAGCCCGCAAAGGTATTTTTGACGTTCTCACTTCCTGTTTTATCAACAACGCGCAGCCACCACCCAATGCTAACCAAGAAATCTACTGCCCCGTGTGGGGGATGCGGCGAACCTGCGGGTCCAGTTCATCGCTGCCCAAGTTGCTCCAGTCATATGCACCCATTCTGCGGACGCCCCACCGGGAACGAAGGGTTTGGACAACCGGTTGTCTGTCCTAAGTGCGACGCGCTCAACCAACGTGGCCCAGCGACTGCTCCAACCACTTCTGACAACTCCGCTGCTACGAGCATCCCCGGTTCGGCCACTGATCTAGCTGGGGAGCTTTTGGACAGCGAGTCGGACATTGAGCTCGACGCATCGCAGCCTCCTCCACCTGCTTCTTCACACACAGTTGGACGTCACACACAAGCAGTGAGCAGTATCTCAAACCGTCGGAAGGTCGTTCGGTGGATGGAAAAGCACAAGGAGACGCAAGGCGTTAAAGGCATGTTTGCGAAAGCTGTGGCTGCATTTCCTACGATTTTCAACTCAGCGACAGCGTCGGCCAACCTAGCCAAGGCGATAGACTGGTGGGCGAAAAATGACCTGATTTTGGGGGCCGAACGAGGCGTAGTTGCCGTCTCGGCGCGACGACGTGGTGGGAGGCGGCGTGTCAGCACCAAGGTGATCAGTGGACGAGGCCGCCCTCGCAGCGCATGGGTTACGTGGCTGTACTCGAAACTTCTTGACGAATTCGATCGTTTACGCAAACTTGGCGTTAAGTTTGAGCCGCCACTACTGCTGCAGCTCGCGAAACCGATTTTGCGAGACGGGGGGGGGGCGAGTATACTCATATGAGCGTCGATGCCAAACAGGCTCTGATCATCGAGAAAATCAATTCGCGTTGGATCCAGTGCTTCATGGAGGCCCATCAGATTGTTCTGAGGACGCAGACCGGGCCAGCCCAAGATCCTGCATATCGAAAAGAGGTTGCATTTCACCTCGGGGAGTTGCAGCGTGGGTTTGCCGACGGGTCACTGGACGAAAATGCAATCGAAAATATTGATGAGACGCATTTTGTCATTGATTTCGACAATGGAAAAACTTTGGGCTTCTCAGGCGAAAAACAGATTAAGTATGCAGACGTCGTGTCGGGTGGCGAAGGAATGACCATGGTGGTGCGGCTCTCGGGGGGTGAAAGCGCAAGAATCCACCCCCAATGGTGATCTTTATGAATGCTGAGGGGAAACATCCTATCCGAGGCGTACCCGATGACACTCCGGGCGTGTATTATCGATCCAGTAAGAAAGGATGGATGACACAAAGACTTTTTCGAGAGTATCTGAGTGAAAGGAAAGCAATGCGAGCAGATCCACGTGGCCGCAACAAGACCATCTACCTCGACAACTGCTATGGTCAACTCGAAGCCGACCAATGTCATGATGAACTCAACTCAATCAATGCAGATCTCCAGTTCTTCCCTCCAAATGCCACCGACTTGTGCCAGCCAACAGGTTCCTTCATCATTAAGAAGATAAAAGACGCATGGAAAGCAAGGTGGAACGCGAAAAAGCTGAGTCTGATCAAAGAGAACTGTTGGCAAAATAAGGTTCGCAAGGACGGGTCGTGGTCGGGCAAGCTTCAAAACCCTGGCAAAAAGTTTTTCCTTCAGCTTGCAGTCGACGCAGTCAGAGATGTCAATCACCAGAAAGACAAGAACGTCATGTCCTACGCTCGAAAAGCGATGATCCGCTGCGGATTGTCGCTTGGAATCGACGGAACCTGGTCTGTAGCCCAACTCTATCCTCATCTCCAAGAGATAGTGGCGAAGCATCGTACCCACTTCGAAGGCGAGCCTGTGACTTCAACTCCAGATACACAAAAGAGCAGTACAGCTCCAGGTGAGTGAGAGGTGAGACTATTTTCGTACTACATAAATAGTCTTAGTCAATAAATAGTCTCAGTCAGACTATTTAATGTAAATAAGCCCAGACACCACTTACAAAAAATAGTCTCAGTCAGACTAATTACCGTAGGTACTGTACCAGTCAAAGTTTCCCTACTCATTGGCGACATCTCCGGAAGCCTCACCTCTACAACTAGGCGAAACCACGTCGCCCCCAGCTTACTCCTCGCTAGCTTCCTGCTCTTCATCATCATCCTCCTTTTCTTCGGCGTCTTCTTCAGAATCCTGACGCTTGAGCTTCTTACCTCCGCCAGTGCCAGCGGCCCGAGCCTGGATGTCGCGCCCACAACGCGGGTGCGGACGTTTGCTCCCATTTTCCCACTTATTGTGCCAAATTTGAAAGCACGTCATGGAGTTCCCTGGGTAATGTTTCCAGGCCATGTTGCACAGGTACAAACTGCAGAAAGCTAGTTAGATAGACATCACCAACTTCTCTGAAATGACTACGTACCGTGCTGTGTCCGACTTGCTGCATGCAGCACAGTAGTACTTGGTAGCGCGGTACTCTCCAACATAGCGCTTTAGAATTGAGCACACATTGCACTGCCGCTGCCGACGCTTACGAACGCCGTTCACGGCCTGCCAGTCTGGGCATTCTAACAGCTCGTGGTCCTTTTGCAAGGGCGCCATAAGTTCTGCATCTTCGTCGTCGTCACCACTTGCTGTAGGCTAGAGTAGCAATGTTAGCGACAACATGGACCCCATACAACATGTATCTGCACGCTCAGCGAACGCACTGGCATACAACATGTGCCAGAGACAACATGTATCTGCACGCTCAGCGAACGTACTCGCATACAACATGTGTCAGAGACAACATGTATCTGCACGCTCATGTACCCCATACAACATGCAGACTTACCTGCTCCACGAAATCTTCTTTCTTGAGCTGCGATAACTGGGCGTGTAGCTCCAGCAAAAATTCGGCATGCGAAGCTGGCTTGAGATCCATGCGCTTGGCCGCCTCCGGAATACGATGTAGGCGTTCACGATTGCCACGTCTACCAGTCCCAAGAAGATAGACTTGCAGTACCTCTTGCACCACGTCTGTCCTTGCAGAGAATAGTGTTGGAGTCGGAGTTGATCTTGGATATCCACTCCACCCATCCACTGGTGGTAATCACGCACCATGGACGGGCAGGGAACATGATGGCGTCTACATCCTGTGACCCGTGTTCGTCGCTCTACAATATTACAAAAAGCACAGTTAGCCTCGACAGTAAAACAGATAACTTGATCGGTACTTACGACATGACATGTCTCCATTGCTCTGCTTGATCCGGTTCCTAAGAACTGAACGGGCTTCCGGTCCCACCAAACTAATCCTGTCATCAATCCACAGTTCCGAGCCACCGCCATCCGCACCGCTCCATGCTGCACGCGCTTAGGACGATTGCGGTTCTTTTCCACGATTTCTTGTGGATATCCGACTTTGTCTCCCATGATAGTTCCAATTGAATACACATTGCGCTGTAGTAGCTGAAGCGCGAGCTGAACCGACGTGTAGCATCTATCCGTCACCACCAGGTGGTAAATATCGTCTTGCGGCGCTGGTAGAACGGCCTCAAGGTTGCGAATCACTGCAGCTGGCCCGGAGTTCGGGTCCGCAGAACGCTGGCTGTCCGGTACGTTGTCTAGTTCCGCCGCATGCTGGGCTTTTCCACAATATACCTCAAGACTATATGTTGTATAATCCAACATCACAAATACAATCAGGTGTTAGATACAACATGTTGACTTAAGCAAAAAAAACACGACGCGGGTCCACATGGATCCGCGTCGTGTTCTCCTTACCGCATACAGTAAGCTGTGTCTGCACAGTACGTCAGGAAGAGTTGGTGTCCCACTTGTGCGGCTTGTTCTTGAGGTATTGGTGGGTCGGGTTGTTTCGGTTGCGGGAGGGTATGACGCCTTCATCAAACGATACGACCGGCGGTGTAGTATATCCTCGCGGGAAGGTTTCCTGCAGCGTCTTGACCACGGAGCATACCTTCCACGCTCTGTCCGATGCTGCTTGAGGATCGGCGTTGTTCGTGAAGTGTAGGTTAGCCATAATATGCTCGAATCGATGGCGACGCATGTAGTCGTTGAACGTTCCGCGCGCCACAGCTCCAACCCTTTCCGGAGACCAATGGTCTCGAAAACAGCGGCGCTGTGGGTTCAGCATCCGCGCCAGCAGCAATCCCAGGATGTGCATAATCTCGTAAGCTTCAATGCCGTCCTTCTTCGCCTCGCGCATCATGAATTCATCCCTTGTGTTTGTGACGAGGTCGGTGAAACCTTTTACGCCCAGGTGTATAGCGGTAGCCCAGAAAGGGTAGACGAGCAAACCTTTTTGGGAAGGTAAACCCTGAACGCAGATTTTCTTGAACGCAGGTTCTGGGGAAAATGCGGCCAGGGTGGCGTGGCACCTTGTGAATCCCTATCGGTGTCGCTTATCTTCAGGGAGCCTGGATCGATCACCAGGTGAGTTGTCTGTGGGGTTGAAAGCCTTGAGTTTGTTGAGCGTAACGTTCACTTGTCTGAACGCACATCTCCGAAATGTCTGAAGTTCGAAGCGTGGGTGAAGGATCAGGGTTACTACCACAAGTTAGAACCCCATAAATACACACCACTTTCAGATAACCAATACAAATGCAGACTGATACACAAACACACAGCAGCCACTTATTCTTAGACCCTTGGGCGGTGGGTCGTACACCAGTCAACTAATCTGCGATCAAGGTACTGATCAACCTTGAATGCACTTTCACACGCGCACCACCCTAAGATGAGGGAAATATACAGACCAAATACAATCCGATCCTAAACGCAGTCAATCAAACTATTCCCGGGGGCGACTGCTACCAAACCACCCGAGATATCAATCGTTTAAATGAAATGGGACACCACCCTTACCTCAACGCAATGGGCCCAACTGGGAATGGAATACGTGGATCACTTCAGCAGCCGGAGCACACTGATCCCCACATAATTGGACTTGAATGTGTGTGGGGAGATCTGCACTGCCCTTGTCCTTACAGACAGCGGACCCGATTCCTCGACGACTTGCGCAGTAGGGAGTAAAACGAACTCTCTGATTGTTATCTGCTAGACTATCACTAGGCTTTGTGTAAAGGTATCTCTCTCGTAGCGTTCTTCTGTGTTCTTTGTGTTCTTCGCCACGCGTCTGGCGAATATCTTGACTTTAGTATACTGGAACTATTGACGTAGACACTGTCTACTGAATTCTTGCCCAGCTTCAATGTGCCCACGTCTTTGTGCATGACTGGCTCTTGAGAAACCTTGGCCGCATGCGGCCAAGGTTCCCTTGAAACCGGGTTTCAGAGTCGGCAGGCCTGAACGCAGTGGGACCAAGGTCTGCGGCCAAAGGCAACTTGCGCCCAAGATTGAAATCATACTCAGGGCCTTGCGGCCAAGGGTAGGTCGACTCTTCACTTGGTCGTGGGGCACTTGGCGGGACTTCGTCCAGGTGGCCAGCGGTCAGGACACTCTGCACTTGACTTCACTGGGGTGGCTGAGCTCCGGGTACACGAATTCGATGTGCGTTCAGGGCCTAGGCGAGGCGGGACACCGTACACGATACGTTCGTGCAGGCGTTTTCGACGGCCTCAATGTGTCAACCCGCTTAAGGACGGGGGCGGCCTGGACGGATCGACTGCGTTCAGGGTTTCTCATTCAAACGCAGTCTTCCAGGCCTGAAGGGCCCATCCTAGGCTTGAGCGCACTTAGCTCCGCGGAACACAGCCGAATTCCAGCTCAGATCTTGTCGCACGGTGTACAGCCGGGTCCGGATTCAGTCTCGGCCAATCAGAATGGCGGATTCAGCCGGGTCAGTAGACAGGTGATGACCGGTTGAGGTAAAGCCTCGCTCAGTCTCGTCACAGTAGGCGTAGAGCAAGTAGAAAGTCGAACAGCCTGAAGGATAAATATGCACTTTTACAGATGCTTATCGTCAATCTGCCAAACGCGAGGGCTATCCGCCCAAATTCGGGAGGATTAAACCCGCTGAATATCCACCAAAAAGGTGCCTCTTGTGTTCCTAAAACGCAACAGCGGATTGTGTAATCCGTCAAAACGTACATATCCGCCCAAATCCGCTCTTTGAGGAACACACTCTATGTATTGTTCTTTGATAAATCAATCCCTGCATTATTTATCATAGTGCTTGCTGCACTACTCCCTAATAATACCACACTCGGGAGGCCTACAACAAAACCGCTGATGCCCTCGCCAACATGGCGCTGGATTCACACGCGAGCAAGCAGATGGGCGACACCGGGCGGGGTTTGCCGCCCGGCCACTGGGACATCGCCCTGCAAAACGTGAATCATGACATCGGTGAGTGGCAAATTGGGAAGCCTCAACTACTGGAACTAAGTTATCGCGAGTCGCCCTGGAAGGGACGGCTACCGCTGCGAGAACGAAGTAGGACGGTACGGACAGGTAAGGAACGGATGAAATACAACAAAGTCAAATGTAAAGATTCAACTTGTTGTTTCCACGGCCAATTCACGACTGTCCAACCTACCTGGCACGGAGCACTTCGCTCCGAGCTCTCTCTTCTTCTCTTCAACTTGAGCGTCGGCACGCCGCCGCCCTTGAACACATTGTCGTCTCCTTTCACCCCTCCCCCTTGGCTCACGTCAAGACTCACGCCCCGAGCCACGCAGCGCTCGTGACCTCCCTCCTGTCTCCTCACGTCACCGCCTACTCGCGGAACACGCCACTGCTTCCATCACGACTCATCGTCCACGCAACTGACCCGCCGCCAGCTAACCCTCGCTAAAGTCCGATGACTGCTCAGTCAGCTGATCCTCGAACAGCTGATCCTCGAGTAGTAGCCCACGCGCCGGTTGACGGGCTGCAGGAGGACGGTCACGACCGTACCCACGACGGTGACCACCGTTCCCACTCGGGACATCGTCCCTGACTGAGACTCGACGTCCTCGTCGAGCGGCCTCTTCCTCCTTGACCGCCTTCATCTTCGCCCGCAGAGCACGCTGCTCCGCCCTTGGGCCACTCAGAGTACGCACAGGCTTCGGCTTCCCGACGCACCCGTCCGCACGCAAAAATGCTTCACTCAGGCGCCCAGCTTGCTGAAATTCCTCGACGTCGCGGAGCCAGTCGGCGTAGCTCTCCTCCGCCATCTTCGCCGGCGACCGCCCTCCAGACGCCGTCTCGTAGCACTTCAGTAAGTGGCTGGCGACTCCAGTCGGCGTAGTTCTCCTCCGCCATCTTCGCCGGCGACCGCCCTCCAGACGCCGTCTCGTAGCACTTCAGTAAGTGGCTGGCGACTCCAGTCGTCGCCACCACACAGCTTTACTGCATCAGGGATCAGCCCACCATCGGCTGTCAGCCCCCGTCCGCCAACATGTAGTTCAGGGTCAGGAGTAGCACGCCCACACCCACCGCTCCTTGGCACGCTTTCTCGACCAAGTCATACACGTAGACGACAGTGTAGAACACGGCGTACGTCGCTAGCGTTATGAACGCCCTCAGTCCCCGGCCTACGCAGTAGGCACGGTCGACCGAGCGCCGACACTCGGCCCTCGATCCGCGCCAGTACATCACGGTTAACACGCCACCCAGCTCGAGCACGTTGGGCAGGAACATAAACCACAGAGCGTGGTAAGCGTCCAACCACTTGTACAGTAGCCAGCCTAAGCCATCCTCGCGCTCGCCTCGCGCCTCGAGCACCACCATGGGCGTGGCCCAGATAGATTCAAATGCCTTCCATCGACGCTCCGCGGACGGTCTGCCTTGCACGGACGGACCGTTCGCGATGCGGCGGTATCGTCTTACGCATACCTTCAACAGTGTCAGCCAATTGAACGGAAAGCCGAACAGGGCCCCGATCAATCGCCCCGCAATGCTCCACAAGGGCCTTGTGATCACGCCGCCCACAGCCCCAATCAGCACCAGCAATACGGCCGCTCAGTAGTTGCGCAGCACCCACCACACAATCTTCCACACGGACAGGGAGTGCCACAGGCACCACTCGACAGCATCCATCACGGTTTCCACGTTTGTCATGGAGACGAAAGCGAAATGCCCTCGCCTCTGTTCGCTTCTCACGGTCGTCCACAGCTCTCCACGTTCACAACCATCCTCGTACGTGTCCAACCGTAATGGGTAACCCACCGTTGCCAGTTTCGTCAATCAACTTAGTCAATCACTCAACCGTCTAACGCCAACCGTGCCTCTCCCATTTTCAGGAAAGGAAATCCGCAGGCAAACGTCCCAACTGCCAGGTCGGAACGCATCAGCGGAGGCCCCGGCAACTTGCAGTCCCTCCCTCATTTCAGCTTTCGCCGAGAAAGACCCCGCCTCGCATGGGGTACCCGTGGGTCGGTCAGCGAGCGTGGTACGACCCGGAGGAGCGCGTTGCACGTGGCGCATTGGCGCTTCTGGATGCACTGGCGCGACGCCTTCTTTGCCTACGCGCTGTACGCGCCCTCCGACGCGTGCACGGTCCGCCGCAAGAAGAAGTCGAACGCCGGCCAGGCGCGACTCGTGTTCGTCAGCCTGAACGTCATCGAGTTCGGCTTCTACGGGTATCTCGACCTCTTCGAGAACCGTTCCCACGACAACCTGATGTGGCTGGGGGGCAAGGCGGCCCGCCGGTCAGCAGCAGCCAAGGCGAACGCAAAGTCCTTCTCGGACATAACCGTGGCCACGGACCTCGCCACGCTGTATCGCCATGAGCGCGGACGCTACGATGCCATCATCGCGCGAGCGCTAGACCCGTACCAAGTGGATTAGGGCAGTTAACAGTCCATCTCCGAGTTGCTCGAGCAGACGAAGGCGCTGGGCCCGACCAAGCCCCCCCCCCCCCCCCACCTCCGAATCAGCGACGAGGCCTTCGCGCGCGTCGTCACCGGCGGCGACCCGCCCAACCCGGCTTGGGTCGGCAACAAGAGCGCCGGGACCTGGAAGATCCTGCTGGGGAACGACCGTATCCGAGCCCTTGCCAAGAAGCTCACGCCTCTCGTGAAGAAGGGTAAGCAACCGTTCCCGCCCCAAAAGGCGAACAACGAGGACAAGGAGCAGCGCGGCGACTACTCCGACTACGCGGACGACGAGGACATGTTCACGGTGCTGCTCCCGACGCCGCAATCGGACGAGAAAGACGACGGTGAACCCGAGGAGCCCAGCGAATAGCTGCCCGAAGCCGAGGCCGACCAAGACCAAGAAGACGACGACGAAGAAGAGCAGGCGGACCAAGAAGACGAAGAAGAGCACAGCTCGGGCGCAAACGAGCCCACGGGCGACGACAAGAAGAGTAGCGCGGGCGACGAGGCTGATGACTCCACGACCAAGAAGAAAAGCGCCGCCTCTTCGGCGTACCCAACTCCAAGTATGCTCGCAGTCGTCATTAGGGACGCGCCACTAGTCGTTCATTTTCCTTTCTCCAAATCTGCTAGCGTCCCTCCAAATAATAAATTCAAATTCAAAACACGTAATTCCATTTCCACCGATCCGTTCTTGAGTTCTAAGTGACCGTACCATCACCGTACACGGCCATCCCTTGGACCACGAACAACACCCTTTTCGACACTGCTAAGCCATGAGCAGGTCTTCGTCCTCCCCTTCAGCGTTCGCCTCTTCCAAACGAGAACTCCTCCGCAGTTGAGACGGACGCCGTTTTCTTCGTTCGGCTTGCTCAAGAGCCGTCACTAAGTCACTGTACTCGGGCATTTACTCGGCCCGAGGAATCCAGTGACTCTCAAAACTAGCCGTAAGCACCATGTACTTCACAGCACGGTCGACCACTTGTTTTGCAACAATCTCCAGAAGCGGCGAAGTATCCCCCGTGACGGCCGTATCCCCGCGACCTATGGTCACCCGTTCCGTGAAACTGGATACCGGCAAATCTGCTTCCTCCACAGACCAACTTCTTCGTCCTCGCCTCGCCCCTCTTCTTCCTGAAGAGGTGATAGACCCAAACAGGGTCACCAACCTCGTACTGCACAGCCACGCGATCGCCCCGTAGCCGCTCATGTCGGTCCTGCGCCTTTCGGAGCTGCCTCTCGACCAGGTGACGCGAGTCACGCAAGGTACGGTAGAGCTCGCGACGGTACGCTGCCACCTCATGATCTTGCTCTTCTTGCCCAGATTCAGGAATGCGACGTCCAGCGGCAACACGGGATCGCGCCCGTAGAGAGAAAAAAGGGCGAGTCGCCCAATACTTCATGGTAGGACGTCCTGTAGGCGAATAACACCCTCGGTAAAAATAGATCCCAATCCGTCTGAGCCTCACTCACGTGCATTTTCCCATGACGGTCCCATTAAAGCGCTCAACCAGCCCCTGAGTCTGCGGATGGTACGCTGAACCGTACAGCTTCCTAATCCCCAGTGTCTGGTAGAAGGACTTTGCAATCTCCGACGTGAGTTTTCGTCCATTGTCAATCAGCAACCGTGACGGCACACCGTGTCGCACCACCACTCCGATCACCATTTCTTCCACGAAAGTCACCGAATCCAGGCGAAGCACCGCAAATGCCTCAGCCCACATCGTAATGTAGTCAACAAACACAAGGATATACTTGTTCCCTCTCTCCATCACGGATAACAGACTCACTGCGTCCACCATCAGCTTCGAGAACGGACCCGAGAGATCCGCCACCGGCATCCGCTGCATCTGACCGGCCTGCCACGGTCTCGCCCCTTGACACTGCCACATCGGGCACACTCTCGGACATACTCCGTAACGTCCTTCCTCCAGCCAGGCCAGAAAGCGTGCCTCCTCACTCCCTCGAGCGTCTTGGTCAGACCCAAATGCGAGGATAGCACGTCAGCGTGGCAGTAGTGTAGAACGGCTTCCACGTACGGCACAGGAACTACCGGGACGGTCAAATACCGAGCTGGTCCGACCCGAGCTGGCAAGTGCACCTTCCTCATCAGTAAACCGTTCTGCGCCACGTATCGAGACCGCATCTTCACAATCGTAGACCGGAGGAACGGATCCAAGGGTAGGGCCCCATCCAGCAGGAACGCCACCAGCGCCTTCACCCATGGACCTTCCTGCTGCGTTTGTACAAACTTGTCGAAGTCGAGACCGAACCGATCCACAGGAGTCAGAGGGGCGCTTCCAGCAGGAGCACCACTCACGGCTTCATTCGGCTGGTCAGGACACTCGTCGCCGACCCCCGCTTGCTCCCCGACTGAAGTCGGAAGTACGTCCTCGACCGTGCGTTCCGGGTTCAGCAAGTCACGCATTGAGAGAGCCGCCACCGTGTCCATAGGTAGTCTAGATAGACCTTCCACGAGCCCCATAGAGGTACCAGGTTTGTGATGCACCTGAAACTGTAAATTAGAGAGTTCCATCGCCCACCGAGCCAGCTTAGCGTTCGTAGTACGGTTGCCAGGACTAAACACCCACGTCAGCGCCTGGTGATCCGTGTACAGGTCGAACTCACGCTTGTCGAGATAACACCGGAACTTCCTGGTCGCCCAGACGACCCCCCCCCAACACTCGATTCCAGAGATGCCGTCCTGCATCGTGATCCAATTCTTCTGAGGCCCGGTCAACAACTTACTCGCATACGCCACCACACGGTCACGGCCGTCCACCTCTTGCATGAGGCACGCTCCAACCGCGTACCGTGACGAGTCAACGTACAACTTGAACCGCTTCTTACCGTCCGGATAGACCAGGATAGGAGGCTTCATGATGGCCCTCTTCAGTTGACGAAAAGCACCTTCACAGTCTTCGCTCCACTCGAACGGTGCATCCTTGACCTTCAAGCGTTCCAGGGGCGTCAAAATGGAAGCGTACCCAGGAATATAGCGACGGAAGGAACTGGTCAATCCAAGGAACGACCGTATGATGTGCACGTCCACAGGTCTCATCACATTCAGGACAGCTTTTACCTTCTCAGGATTGGCTAGAATACCCGTAGGCGTGACAATATGACCCAAAAAGGCAACTTGACTCCTTCCCCAACGGCACGTTTTTATGTTTAGCTTGAATCCCGCTTGCTGGAAGCGAGTCAGCACTTGACGGACACGCACCAGGTACGTAAGGAAGTCCTTGCTGAAGATCTCACAGTCGTCGAGATAGACCAGACAGATACGCCACTTTAGATCCATTAACACAGTCTCCATCAGCCGTTCGAACGCTGTAACAACGTTACAGAGCCGAAAAGGCATCACTAGCCACTCCTCCAGACCGTACTTGCATCTAAACGCCGTCTTGGACACGCTGTCCGGGTGCATGGGCACGTTCCAATAGCTCGAGGCGATATCCATCGTCGAGAACAGTTGAGCACCTCCCAGCACGTCCAGGATGTCGTCACTTAACGGCATGGGGTAGCAGTCCTTCACCGTGACCGAGTTTAGCTTACGGTAATCGATGCAGAGCCGGCTCGCACCGTCCGGCTTCCGAATCATCAGGACGGGGCTCGCCCACGGACTGTTCGAAGGACGGATCAAATTCAACTCCAGGTACAGTTGCATTTCCGCCTCCATAATCTCCCCTTCAGCCAACGAGACACGGTACGATGCCTGCTTGATCGGCGCGCTGTAGCCGGTGTCAATTTTAAACTGCAGCAGGTCCATACGCCCCGGCATCTTCGAGGACTCCACGAACATCGAGCGGAAGCCGTCCAGCTCAGTCTGGAAGAGTTTCTTCTGCTCAGCGGACAAGTTGGACTCGGCGAAGTCGGCCTTCATGCCGTCCTTCTTGTCGGGTGGGATGTCAGGCTTCGAGGTCTTCACCTTCTCGCAGACGTCTTCCTCGCGATCTTCCGACACGGACATCGCACTCGCACCGCCCGACTCATCGCTTTCAGCGGGCACCATTCCACGCCGTCTCGGGGATCACGGACGTGCACACCACGCCCGTCCCCTTGCGAATCCAGTACTCGTCCGTGGACGCGTTGCATACTTCGACGATCACTCGGCCATCCTCCTCCGTACATATCGTTCTCACCACGCACAGCGTAGGAGGCAGGCCCAACGAGCTTTCGACTAGCACCACGGCCTTATCAGCCACGCCCCCCACCACTCGAGTTTACACAAGAGCTTGTCCTCGGGGCGGGAGCCGCACCGATGTCGCCATCACCGCCATGTAGGACTCTAGCATCATCGTGAAGCCCAGAGGCAGCACCTCACCGGAGCTCTTTAGCGTCAGGGAGCGCTCCGCCACGTCGATCACGGCGCCCAACGCGCCCAAAGCGCCCACTCCCAGAATCGAGTCGACATGTAGCTTGTCGGCCACCAGCACGCTCAGTGAAACCTCCACCGACCCAAGCCGGAACGACAAGCTGATCCAGCCTTGGATCCGCAGCTTGTGTCCCGCCGAGCTCCTCACTAGCCCCTCATAAGGGTCCAGCGGCTCAGAGGGCCGTCCCAGTCGCTTCAGAACGCAACGGTGAACTAGACTTAGGGTAGCGCCGGTGTCGGTCAACATTTGAGACGGTAAACAGTCAATATAACCACTTGAAAGTGCCTCAAAGTTGCCAACCGCGCACACCACCCTTCGCCCATCTTCCACGACAAGGTACACACCAGAGGTCCGCCAATACCATAAAAAATTGTATTGCCAGCAGCATGACTCCATAGTAAAGATTTCAATATAGCGGCAAGCAATAGTAAATATTGCCGTAATTTATATTGTATTGTTAGTTATTTCTTCATGTTCTTCTAACTCCCTCTTCTACCACTACTTCCCGTAGGCACGCCTATCTCGATAAAATCTCTGCGATCCACAGGCCAAAACACGCCGAGCTCCTCCTCTTCAAAACGCGCAATGGCATCTTGTGGTAAATCTGACGCTGGCTGCCAAGTAGGACGGGGGTACCCAACCCAGCTCACAAAGTAGTAGTCGTTGCCATCCAGATCAGTCTTTGTTGCATAAATAAACTCAAGGGTGTATACAATGTTGAAATGAGACGCTAGGCCACCCGAGAATGGCGGCTGGACTTCTCTACGAGTCTGCTCCTGACCAGTAATTGTATCGACGCTAGTGTAGTGTGGAGGACCCCATAGTTGATGTCATCGGTGGTGCCATGTGATGCCATCAAACGTAGATTTGTGGTGGGCCGCAGAACCGCACTTTTTCATATTTATTGTCAATAATTGGGTCAATATCATATTGTATTGGTAGCTGGGATGTCCAATAATAAAGATTTTTATTGCAAAACCCAATTATTTATTGAATTGAAATATTTTTTCCGACCTCTGGTACACACAGGCCTCAGCATCCTCATCATCGTAGACTCCGAAACCATTCGGTAGGTTCACCGTGACAACGTCCACCAGGCCAGTCTTCTGCAGTGGCGTTCGAGCGGGACGCTCGCACCTCACCACTTCAACGTAGTGCGAAGCTTCCTTGTCACGCTCAGGGAAAAGCTCCAAGTCGTCGATCACCTCGGCATACGGCTTGTAAAGCGACGAAAAAGCAAACGTGACCGCCTTGCCAGGGTGACGACGACGGCGACGCCTAGCACTCAGCGTCTTCGACCGCCCCGTACGGGTCCACAGCTCCATCCAAATCCTTTGAGAGTTGTTGTCATAGTAGGTCCTCATCCAGAAACATAAGCGCTCACCAGAGCGAGCCGTCACGATCATCAACTCCTTGACACGGTCAACGTGCTGCAGAAGCCGTTCTTCATCGTACTCCGAAACCTTGTCACGCAGCGGAGGGACTTCCACCGTCACCTCTTCACTGTCGGGAGGTTTGCGCACCTCACACGCCCGGTCTCCATAGTCTCTAGCCTCCTTCAGGAAGCGGAACACTGCTTGCCTTGCCACCGCACGCGCGACCTTCGGGTCCACGCCTCGCACTTCACTCAGGATAGGTACCGCTTCGACCACGGCGACAGCCCCTCCAGGATCGTCCGGCGGCCGCACGACGTGCTCGGCCACGGCCGACTCGACGACCATTCGCACCTCCTCAGAGAGGCCTTCGTCGTCACTAGGCGCACAGACTCCAAACCGCTCACAACGCAGTCAGCCAGAGGCGCGCCATCGGATCGGCGGCGGCCTCCAACGGAGAGCCGTAGACCACCCGTATGCTCTAGATGGCGAGGGGTACGACTTGTCGGACTGCATGTTCTCGGCCTGGCCAAAGGGAGACGACGTGCTGGCCGAGGCTGCTGAGGACGGCACGGTCCCGCCGGAGACGGCAACCGTCTCTGGTAACGACTGTCTGTTCTCGCTCGATGAGGTCACCGCGATGGAGAATGGTGAACCGGGCCAGGAGGCTTCCATTCTCGCCGGTGCGGGCGTCGTCCCCGAGCCCGAGGAGTATGACAAGGAGCTCGAGGACCGGCTGTACCTGCTGGACGAGGTGGAGCTACTGAAGCGTGTTGATCGGAATGCTGAGGCCAAAGCCGAGCCGTCGTCGGAAGAACTGGCTCGCAGCCTCGGGATCTCGCTGGAAATTTGGCGTCCTCTGACTTGCACGGTACGCGTGAGTATTGGCAGGGCTGGTTCGAGGACATGCTCGACAAGTCAGAGGAGGCCAAACGTGCGGAGCGCGACTTCCGGAGCCCTGTGGTTAGCTGGCGGCGCGTCCGCGGACGGCGACGGCACCTCCTCCGTACTCACGTTCTCGGGCTTCATTAGCGACGCGACTTCCGGCAACTCGTCCGGGTTCTTCTTCTCGCGCGGCAACTCGGGCACGTTCTCCTCGATTGGCTCGGTCTTCAACTCAGCCGGCTTGGCCTTCTCCATTCCACTGGTCTTCACGTCGGCCGCCGAGACGGCCAAGTCCTCGTAGATCGTCTCGTGTTCCAAGTCGTCGATCCTTACCGCGAGATCCTCTCCTTCATCACTCAAGTCACGAGCCTTCTCCATCGTCGCCGTGTCCGAGTAGAACACCGACACCTTCATCACGGTGGACACCATCGACGACATGTCAGCCGAGGCGCGGTTTGGTCCACCGTGGTCCACAGGGGTCGACGATTTCTTGGCTGCAGGCGCCGCGCCCGGGGCCGGAGTCTTGGCACGAGCCACCGTCTTGCTCGGCTCCACCTTGACTTGCTGCTTGACTTTTGGCTCAGTCTTCACGACCGTGCCCCACCCACCGTAGGCGCCAGGCCGCGCCCCAACACACCACCCGTACATGGGCGGGTTCAGCAGCCGCCTCTCCGTCTCGGTGTACACCGGAACGAACCCGCTCGGGCTATGAGTGGGCACTTCCTCCGGCTCATCCTTCACGTAGGCTCTGTAGAACGGCCGCGAAGACGCCGTCTCGATTGGCACAGGATCGTCGTAGCCAAAGCCGTTCGAGTAGTAGTGTACGGGCCTCGAGAACGCGCTCCTTGACTCATCGGCGTTACCGTCCCGTTGCCTCACCCGTCTTGCGAAGCCGTTCAGCCTCCAGGCGCGCCACTTCTTCTTGGACGGTCCGATGCTCCGCGGACCCTTCACCTTCTCCAACTTCAGACATCTTCTTCAAACTTCACTTCTTCAAACTTCAGGGGCACCGAGCGTGCCGTTCTTCACTTCACTTCCAGACAAGACGGTTCCACAAGTCTTACGCGGATGCCGAAACTTCTTGGAGACCCCAGGGGTGAGCTCTCGATCGCGATTCCAACGCGCTGCTGTCACCTCGCAAAGGCCAACGAATACCAACGTCCGACTTGACCAGACTGTCCGACGCCCACTTCACAGCGAAGCCAATACCTGCTTCTCCACCACGTGTCGCGAGTCGCCCTGGAAGGGACGGCTGCCGCTGCGAGAACGAAGTAGGACGGTACGGACAGGTAAGGAACGGATGAAATACAACAAAGTCAAATGTAAAGATTCAACTTGTTGTTTCCACGGCCAATTCACGACTGTCCAACCTACCTGGCACGGAGCACTTCGCTCCGAGCTCTCTCTTCTTCTCTTCAACTTGAGCGTCGGCACGCCGCCGCCCTTGAACACATTGTCGTCTCCTTTCACCCCTCCCCCTTGGCTCACGTCAAGACTCACGCCCCGAGCCACGCAGCGCTCGTGACCTCCCTCCTGTCTCCTCACGTCACCGCCTACTCGCGGAACACGCCACTGCTTCCATCACGACTCATCGTCCACGCAACTGACCCGCCGCCAGCTAACCCTCGCTAAAGTCCGATGACTGCTCAGTCAGCTGATCCTCGAACAGCTGATCCTCGAGTAGTAGCCCACGCGCCGGTTGACGGGCTGCAGGAGGACGGTCACGACCGTACCCACGACGGTGACCACCGTTCGTACTCGGGACAAAGTGACAGGACTGGTCATCCTCAGGAGAGACGGCACAATCACAGCTAACAACGCGCATGGGTGTTAGCTTCGGGTATTGTTGATCGTTAGTACCTAGCTCTAAATGAACATAATATACATCACCGGGAAAATGAAATGAAAATAACCGGGAGGCCTGCTTGTACTTTACCTGCGCATGGTCGTCGCACCAGATTCCACAGTTAACTGCCAATGCACCTCGCAGCATAATATAATGACACCAACTTGTTGATCTGAATTACTTCAACAGCTATTCAGTCCTGAATACCTGTTGTCCCAATCCCACCTAACCAACGCAACAGGCATTCAGACTATGGCAACAGAAATTCAGTGGTTTGGGGGGTAACAGGTCATTCAGTATTTCTGCAGCAGTATGCTGGATCATTTGTCGAAAAATGATAGATTGGGCTAAAGCATCAACTCTGTGAGGGTACGTACCCCTCGCAGCATGGGGCTTTTTGCTAGGACCATCAAAGCTTTAACCTTGACATCGGACATAAATCACTGATTTTGATTTCCTCAATCACAATCACACATCCTTATCCCAAGTTTGCATACACCCCCTTGCGAAAACAGAACATTGAACCGCTTCGTGCATACCGAGCGAGACAAGACCGGTAATATCATAAATCGGCTGCAGTGAATGTCGACGTCCAATGTGCTGTAAGAAATATAATTCATAGAGCTGTCAAGTGCCCCAAACGGAGTAGTAGTTAACGTACGATCATGATTGATGTATCTGTGCCCGAAGCTGAATGATAGTGCCATATGCTTATTTTATGGGATTCTTGTCGTCAGTACGTAGTCAGACGAGAACATGTGAGTTTATCATAACCCTCAACGTTGAAGCTGTTGCTCGCTCCATTGGTCGAAACGACTTGCATAATCGAATTCAGCGTCAAAATTTACACCTAGAAGGACAATAATAAGAAATCGAACTTAAGAAACATTTGAAAATTCAAATTTTCAAACGGCCATAACTTGACGGGAACTTGAGTTTGTACAATTGCAAGGTTATCAAACGAAAAATCATAACAATCCCTTTCGATTGCAGTGCCTACCCCAAAAACCTAGGTTTTTCCATTGTTACATTTGGTTCTGAGTTGACTCATATGGACTCCAGTTGGCATACAATTGGTCGATTTAAACAAGCTCTTTTGTCTGGAAGAGGCTCGCTAGGGCTTACGAAGTTAACCCTCCGTGTTGCTCGTCGATTCCAGCGCTAAGATAGTAATATTCGAGTGACGGATGCCGTATTGCTAGTATAATAATACATACCGTTACCGATCTGGCAAACATACAAGTATATTGCCATTCATTAGTCTTGTTGATGCAGATTCGAGGCGTGTTGGTGCTAAAAAAAAAAAGCTAGTACAGCTAGTGCATGTAGTATTATCCCTACAAAGGCACTTAGGGTACTGTATTCGATGGTACTATTGTTCCTATCCGCCAAAACGCCCTCCGACTTGATGTCCTACATAGGACTTTTGCTCCTACGTAAGGTCTCATAAAAGTTAGTACCGAGGTCAGTAAAACCTGGTACTAGCCAAACCTGAACATAAACTGAGTAAATGGCTCGCCAAGGTGCACGCAGCTTGGCGAATGAGCGCGCTCAGTACCTGTAGCACATACATCCCCACTGAGCATGGTGGCGGGGCTGAAGGAGGCAGGTTGCAGCGCTGCAGGAATCTCCGCTTGGACGTCACCCGTGGAGAATGGCGCTAGACGAGCAGCGTGCTCACGTGTGGAACATCCGGCTGCAGACACTCGACGAGGTTGGGAAACGCCATGACTTGCTGCTTGATGGCAGCGAGTGATGATGGCATTGCATATTACATCGCTCTGTTGATGATGGCGCTAGACACGAAGCATAGAACAGAGCGGCGTCGCCATGGGAACGCCTAGGAAGGTTAGTTAGCGAGAAGTTTAACTGTCCTAGCCCATTGAATCTGTCTACAACTTACCGCTTCCGGATCACCCCGGGTTGAGCGACACCATGAAATCCGCGACAGGTACTTGTTAGTATACTGATCAGAATGACCAACATAGAATTGTCCACCCGCAGTGCTATGGAGTAAATTACCCACAGCACCGGATCAACTCGTGGGTTTGATGATACGGCACTTTTTATGGCGGGCTGTATTTGAGGGTACTGTATTCTTATACAGTACCCCCAAATAGGGTCCTTGTATTCGCAGGAAACTCTAATACGTTACTGACACTATTCGGTATTCTACGTTAGTGTTGACATGGCCGCGATGTTATTCTTCTATTCCCTGACAGACATAAGGCAAGTATGCACTCCTCTTTGATCCAAACAATGTTCTTAAATGGGTTTCAGTATTTTTTTACTTATGCGGTCTTCAGCGCCCTCAGTTGAAATAAAGCCGATACCGATTGCCAAAACACTGCCTCTCACCCACCAACTGGCCTTGATCTCTACCAAAAAACCTGGGAATCAGCCGATCTATGGTTTACTTCTGTGCGATAGACATGTGTGCTCTAAAACTTAGATTCTATCCTGCCAAGCGCGAGCTAAGAATATTTTTTTCCTTACGAGTTTGCAGTACACACAAAGGGACTGCCGGGTTTTCCAATACGTAAACATTACTTCTAGGCGTAGTGAAGCTGGTATTATTCCTTGTAGAATCTGAGTTGTTTTTCTGCTTTCCATAGTTTCTCCTGTTTGGACGCTTCCTCATAACCTATATCGACGGCACACGCACCAACCGACAGTTATAGCTACCTTTACGGCTATTTGGGAGCGTGAATGTGTTCAAATGACATTTGAACACAAGTGAGCTCCATGGCAACATTTTGCTCTTGCCAAACCTTCGCTTTCCTAGTGTAATACAGGGTTTTGACAGTCTCTTAAATCCGGCACTTCCCAAACTCTCTAATCCGGCACAATACCACTTTTTATTGTCAAGTGCCGGATTTAAGGTGGTCTGCTCTCGCCCGATCTGTTTTGGTCCTCCTGGTACAGTGCTCAAGATAATTCGTCTGACTGAGACTATTATGTAAGAGGTTTTGGGCTTGCTTACACTAACGGATAATGCCGAATAAAGCATTTTTTCCAAATTGTATACAGTAATTTGCCTCAATAGTGCAGTAGTCAAAAATATACATTCTTAAGATAATTGCATAGGAGAGCCTAGCTGAACTCCCGTTAGTTGGATTGGTGTTATAGACAGCTACCCGTTTCATCAGGTAATTAGATACCACGGCTGCGCTATTGAAGCAAATTACTAGACCTGGTCCAAATATAAAACCATCGTGGAGGAATCATGCCTATACTATACCGTACCAAATAGTATACCATTTTTGCGTGAAATTAGCGTAAATGCTGATTTATTAATAACATAAAGTGTTCTTATTATAACAGAATAATCGTGAAAACAACAATTGCGATGAGTTCTAAAGAAGTATTAACGTGCTTGGCTACGAACTACTAAAATCAATCCAACGTTTAACACCTTGGCTCCGAACGTCGTAAGTTACGACATTGAGCGCGTTATACTAGAAAAACGTATAGACATGATTTTCTCATACTTTAATCAAGTTTATTTCAAGCAACCGCAACCTATAAGGTGCGATAGGTCTCTGCGACAAGTTCACAGAATCGGGTCAGAGAATGGGTTCAGGTGGGTGAAAGATTCCAGTTTGATCCAGAGCCTGGACAGTTTGGTCCAGAGTCCAGACAGTACGTCCAGAGTTGGACCAGACAGATATCCTTCAGTGAAGGATAAGTGAAGGACCTTCACCCAGCACACGAAGTTGACTTTAGACACTTTTGGCGGTAGCTCAGGGTGGTCGGCTAGACCTGGGGAAGCGCGACGTGTAGCGCACACCCGGCAAGAACGCAGGCAAGCGCAAGAAGACACGGTAGGAACTGCAGCTTCCCCGCGAAGAAGGAAGCGATGGTGGACAATGGCAGCAATGACAGTGAGCGTGTAGGTTGCGTTTCAGTTAGTCGGTGGTCAGTTTCGTGTGGTTGAATACAAAGTTTGTTGAGCCAATGCACCTTCTTTCATGTGATTTCTGATCGGAGCTGCAGAACAGTGCACCTCCTCAGCCATCTGTTGACTGCAAGTGGGGTCTGTTACGACATTGAGCGGCGGTTGCTCTAATTCTATGTCGTATCACTTACAACATTGGCGAGAAAACCTGATGACAATTTATATACCTACCCCGACGAGAAACACATGGTCCATACAAATATCAAGTGAATCTGTAAGTCGTAACTTACGACATGCGCTTACGCGTCTGAGGCGAGTACCGTTCGGAGACAAGGTGTTAAACACGTCATAACCTAACCATTAAAAAATGGATTGCTATTTTTTACGAAACGTTACGAATAAAATCGAACATTAGCTATTTGGAGGTTAAACCAATGCAGCTGGGAACTTAGTATACTGTACCAAAAAACTATATTTTATGATTTAACAGTATTATATAGAAGTAGTACCCCGTATACTATTTATCATTATCCGTTAAGTACACCTTTTATAACCCACGTTCACCAAGAACAAGGCCAAATTCACAAAGAACAAAACCAAATGCATCGAACCCCAAATCAAATGCACAAAGTGCAAGCTCAAATGCATTTAGCAAGTACCGTCAACCTTCAGAATGTGATATCCTGACAAAACCAACAGATACACAATCATTTCTCAAAGGCTGCTGCACTGTAGATTTTCCACTGGGGCCTTCCTTCCTGCTATCCTACTATCTGGTGTGCTGAGTAGTGTGGGCGATATCACAATGTACATACATCTAGTTGTGCTGTCAGGAGACCGGGGGGAGAGCGCTTCTGCAGCTTTAACGGCTCGCTTTCGTCGCCCCAGTTGCCGGCAAGCTCTTCGGGAATGCACTTGAGGCAAATCTTGAGTAAGCTATCCTAAATACAAGCATATCACTAAGGTATTCAGTTCAATAGGATGATGCATTTGAGCTTGCACTTTGTGCATTTGATTTGGGGTTCGATGCATTTGCTTTTGTTCTCTGTGAATTTGGCCTTGTTCTTGGTGAACTTGGGCTGGAAAAGGTGTAGTCTAACCCAGACTATTTATTGACTAATACGAAGTATGTGGCACGGAAATAGTATCACCTCTCGTTTATCTTGGCCTGTACTGAAACTGATGCTGGAGTTGCAGTCACAGGCTTATCTTGGAAACGTGTACGGTGCTTCAACACTATCTCTTGGAGATGAGGATGGAGCTGGGCTACAGACCAGGTGCCATTTGTTCCATGTGACAACCTGCTACTTTTAGCGTGGGACATGCAGTGTCTTTCTGGTGGCTGGCATCTCTGATTGCATCAACCACAACGGGAAGATTTTTTTGCCAGTATTCGTAGTTTCCCCGTTTCCAGCAATCTATCAGTGTATGGGGGAAAATTGTCGTATTGTAGTTCTTCGGGGAGAGGTGCGGTGGCACCCCAGAGTAGAACCGCCGTGCGTCGCGCTGGAGACACGCCTCAGAGCATCATTCGTGACAAATGGGCGGAGCCTTTGGCTGTCAACACGGGGTAGTCTTCGAAGGCGCTTGAAAGCCAGCGTCCAAGCAACTTGATGATCAGTTGGTCCGCTCCAGCATTTAGAAGTGCAGTGGCTCCACCGACTCGAATTGAGTGAGTCGAGAAGCGGTCTGGGTCTTGATTAGTCATTCTGGCATCGGCCTTGATCACCTGGGATACTTCGTGTGCGGTGACTCCTCTGCCCACGCCCGTTGAGAATGCGGGCATGATCTTCGTTGTACCAAGAGCGTTAGCAGCGCAATGAATCCATTGAGCTACCTTCGCCGGGAAAAGACTGGATCCCCAGATTCACAGTGAAAGCGGCATTCCTCTCTGCCGAATTGGTTGTTCTTGGCACCGTGTAGTTTGATTCCGATCACATGCGCCCGGTTGGGTGGTACTCCGGTACCATTGTTGTCGAAGAACTTGGTGTCGCCGAGCTTGAGAATATATCCGTGACGCTTACGCCCGATGAAGAGGTACTCAGATCGTCGGAGTAAAAATAAATACGCAAGCAGAATTCCACCCCACAGTAGGTGGTCGTAGGGCCGCAAGAAGTCCAGAGCCGCAGCATTGCACGCAGTAGCGGGGCGGAGACAGGATTCTGCTTGATGACATGATCGGTAAAGCGGCGAATGCCACACAGTAAAATAGCGTGACCGGTCGATACACCGGGGTCATACCCAGCTTCTGTCTTGTGGTACCATCGAGCGGCACACAGCTTCGAGCAGATCGTCGAGTAAGCGTTACCGACCAATCGCTTGTTCATTCCAAACTGCCAAAGGAAGACAGCAAAAGCACCAAGTTGAGCGGCGGTTTTGTGAACGTCGTCGGGTGAAAGCCACTTTGGTAGCTCCATCATTCCGCACCACCGACGGCATTGGGTCCATGCTCGCTGATAGAGAGTTCTTGAAGTGTGCGCGAGGGACCCTTCGCGCAGTAGCGCTCCCATAGCCGCCAGAGATTCCTTAATTCGGTCGGGACTTGTACCTGGGACCAAGACAGAGAAAGATTAACGAAACCTGCAGCATGTTGCGGTGACTGCCACGCATCCGCGGCGACGTTCTCCACTCCTGGAATATGGTTTGCGGTAGCGTAAAAATTGTGCTTCACTTCGAGTAGACTGAGTAGTCACAACATCAATTGCGCCTGAGGATTGCTGCTAGCACAGCGATAGTTCCACGATATGGCGGGCTGGTTGTCGATCCAAAAGCAAACGTGGCCTTCAACGCCGGTGGATGGTCCCGACGAGTACTGCCCCCCATACCAGAGCCACAAACACTGCGCTCATGAGTTCGCGGACATTAATACAATATTGTGACGAAGCAGAGCGATTGAACCGCTCTATCTGCTCACGCTCGGCACTGGTGAACTTGACTTGTAGGAATTCATGTCGAGCGGGAAATAGGGCGCAGAGGCCGTAGTCACTTGCGTCCATCTGAATCTTGAAATTGACCGGTTGAGTAGCAGTAAAGCGCTGGAGAGGGACTGTGCTGGAGAGGGACTGGGACTAATTGATACGATCATCTTGAACCAGCTCAGATCCTCATTTGCGTTCTGCGGGATGCGGAGTCTCCATGGTCCGTTGGGTGTCCTCGCTAGATCCGACAGGCGCTGAAAGAATGGTTTTGCAGACCGGACGCAGGTTACCACGTGACGAAGGCTCCCCAGCAGTTTCCGTAACGTGTGTGCGAGGTGTAGTTACTGTCCAGCATCGATTGCACTCTATCGGACGCCTTGGCAATCTTATCATCGGGCATCGAGAGCGTATACTGACCGACATCTTAGATGAGCCCCAGTGATTGACCTCGAATGAACCACCATGTGAGCATCTCCTCGTTCATAGACTCCGGGCCTAGTACCGCTATCATTGCCTACCGCAGACAGATATTGGCTTCGCTGAGACGGGATCCGACGTCTGGCTCGATGCAATTGTGATCGTCGCACCAGGTTTTAGTAGCCACACACACATCACCCACCCACGCACCCTCGTACACACAAATGTACCTGCTGCAACCTCCGGCTGACCAGGCCATGCCGGTGCACTAGTACCGTAGATGTGTTTGATGGCACCTCCAGCGATCCAGTACTGACGAGGGGAGTCGCTCCAGCCAAAAGGGCACACCAGGTCGATCACGAGTACTCCGAGCTCTGGGATGACACTGGCAAAGCGCCCAACGTGGTCTGCATGAATGGGTACGTTCCGGAAAGCGCCCGTGACGTCACCAGAGGCCATTTTAGCTCGTCCAGGATATTCCGCATCCACATGCAAGCTTCGGCGTGCAAGGAGTACAGCACCATCGTATCCAACTTCTATCTCAATCGAGTCCAAAGTTGTATCGTTAATAGAGAGACCATCTGGATATGAGAGATCATGAATCGTCCGAGCCTTGATGGACAATGGGCTGCTTCCTTTCGACGCCACTCCAAAAGGGCTACAGGTGACACCTTCCAGGCTACCGAAGAGGTCAATGTCGAGGATCTGGTACTGGCCTTTGTCCTGACCTTCACGTAGGCTTTTCACCACACAATTTAGCGCCTCCGCCAGCGATGCAATGATTGCGAGGAGGTGCAACCTGACGAGGAAATTCTCCGGACCATCTCGGAATGACGCCGTGGCGAACGATGGCCTCCCAACGACTACGATACCGATAGGATGACCAGCCTGGAAGATGATCAGGTAACTCGAGGGCCTTGTTTGGACGTGGGTCGTTTGCAGTTTCACCTCAGATGACTCGAACGAAATCCGAGAGTGACATCTTTGGTCGACGTAGAAACTCGCTGTACGTGGCTTGCTTGTTTCGATCAAGAAGATGATGAACGTGACCCTGCGTCTTGCGTTGCGCCGGATATGGCTCGGGCGGTGAGAGGTTTACACTTTCCAGTACAGCAGCGACGTGCTCAGCAGTGTGTGCACGGTGAAACTCCAACAATAGACGGCGCACTACCAGGGTAGAAAGGTACGACCTCTCCATTGCCGCAATATACGCTGTCTTGTCGGCCTCCGCGTCTGTTGGGCTCTTGTCATGCGCCGCCCGGGCTGGAAATGCGTGCCGGTGAGTGCTTGCTGGCTGAGATACAGTCACGGGAGTGGGACAGCTCCCTCCGCGACTGTAGATGACTGGCTGGCAGTATGTCTAGAGCTGCGACTTGCCGAGCCGCCCTCATTCCTGACAGGTGTGTCAGTTGAGGGATTGCAGAAGTCCGCGGGAGTGGGTAAGTTACCCACCGCGGACCAAGTTGACTCCATGTGTGCGGCTATGGTGCCAGTATCAGAGCAGCCGTCTTCCTCTAGTGCCCCCAGGTTGTCGCTGAGAGGGTTGTCGCTCAGCGGGGATCGAACAGTCCCGGTATTTCTTGCCCGAGAGAGTCTTGGATCGGCTTCGAGATGGTGACACCGGTGGCGTCGCCGGAGTTGTCACCAGTGCTACCCTCGCAGCGACTGGAGGGCGTGTCGTGGTGGTAACGCGGTGAAAAAAGTACAGACAGCTCGCCGCTGTGCCTTCAGGCTCCTTCTTCCGCTGAAATATCGGTAAATGCAGGGGCAAGACCACCGTAGCGCTCGTCGATAAATGAGACCACTGCCTCCGGTAGCTTTTTGGTGCAGTGAGCACGATAAGGCACAGTGCACCCACCATCGCGTCCGGGGCAGCTCTCATTTGAAAGGTACCGCATGCAGAGCCGCTTGCCTTTGCTCTACGGCAACGCCTTGAGGACCGAAGCAGGAACAGGGTGGCACTCTTTGGTCTCTGAGCACTGTGTCTGCGTTCGTTGTGGAGCAGACGACCCATATCCGCCGTGCGCCGATCGTGCCGGCCGTTTGCTAGACATAGCTGCTGCAAGGTGGAAACGAGAGATTGCTTGGAGAACAGCGACAAAACTCGGATCCGTCATGGAGAAAGTGGAACTGACTGCTGCTTCCGCCGTTGTGTCAGCGCTCGCGAGGTGGCTCCGAAATATTCAAACCGGTCGTCGATCCAGTACACGAGCTCTTGAGCGTCACTTGCAGAGTTAGCAACGCCTTCGTTCTTCACATCTAGGAAAAATGAACGGAGTTCAATGAGCATGGTGGCTACGAATGGCTGGTAAGCAGTGGTCACGGCTTTCGTGAGGCAGTCGATTGCACTTATGATCGCGTCGACAACTCTCCGGCGCTGCGCACTTGGGTGGAGGTGTCTTCCCTTTGAAGTTAGTCATGTCGTACGCCCTGGCAGCCTCACGGCGCGCCTTCGCCGTTACTCTCGCGAAGTGCATTAGAGAGAGGCCAAGAAATCCAAAGTCCCAAGAGTAGAATCCACGTCCAGTGCCGGGATGCGGCAGAAAGAGGAGCCTCGTCGAACAGTGGAATGTGGCTTGACTCGTCGACTGCTGGATAATGTAGTGAGGATAAAATTGTCGCTGACTTCCGAGATGATCTACGGCCAATGCCGTTGAAGTACTTGTACGCTTCACTGTGTAGATGCTACATCTCTCGGGGCATGATGTCACACACAGCACGACGGGCACAGGCCGAAGTGCGTTAGTTTCCGGGGCCAAGTCGAGCAGCATGCGTTCGTCGAAAGGGATGTCAGCACCCCCATCGCAAAACACAAGATGCAAGACGCCGCTTGACGTGGCCTCATTCCAGTAGTAACCCACGGCTACCCCATACTCCCAAATTTTGGCAGCCCCAGCGGGGACTCGCGCAACGCAGAGGCAGCCGCCGACGTAAGTGCCGATTCCGCTCAGGGCCTCAGCCTCACTCACAGAGCGCGACTCAACCCCTGAACGGTCGCGGTCGGCTGTCATCTCGTCGCCATCTTTCCATCGTCCGCTCTGAACTCGCACCACTGGTAGCGTCGTAGCGTCACCGTCCCCTTCGTCGGAGGTTCTCCCGTAGATGTAACCCGGGTTCGAGAGTGCGTTTGGTTTGAAGTAGGCGTAGGTGGTGGTCGACATCGGGAGGGAGGTTGCGAGGACCGAGAGTTGAAAGAGACGGTTGGAGGCTGATGAGTCGGCCGAAGACTGAAGCGGAAGTACTATGCAGGGCGTTTTGCAACCGAGTAAGTGCTTTCAAGCAGTTGCACAACGGACGACCTTGGGTGGTCGTCGTTTAGGTCGCTGCAGGTGTAGTGGTTCGGTTACGAAGTATAGACAGCCCAACCAGGATTAAATCCAGGCAGGGATTGGTAGAGTAGTAACGATAGTAGTGATAATATCACTCATAATACTATATCCCAGCTATACTTCTCGCTTCATAATAGTGATATAGCTTTAGTAGCAAGACTAAATGCCCCTTGTAGTGATAATAGCAGTGATAATATCACTACTACTTTTCCGAACTTCAACCCACGCGGATCGTCAAAATGCGCGCTAATTGGTGGTCCTTAGCCCTCCCCTCCCCGCGCTTTGCGATCTGTCACTCATTTCCCGATCATCGGGCGAGGAAACAAGCCGATATAGCGTGTTAAGAATGCTGATTTTGGTAGAAGGAATCAGAGACTTCATCGTATAGTGTTTGTATGCACCATTCGCGTAATCTATCGACGTAAAAGTGGCTATTTCGTTAATCATTTTTCTGAAGTGGCTTGTCGACATTCAAAACATAGCTACGTAAAAATAATGGCCGTTGATACAGCCCATGTTTTCTAAACGGGTTAGGGCAAGTGTCATACTAAAAACAAGTAAGAAATCTCAAACCTGGTCAAACATGTTGAAACATGGCAACACATGTTCGGCTCGTTGGATGGGTGTCATGGCCTGCAAACACTATGCAATTTCTACGGGCTAAGGTGATCTTCGGCTGCCAAACGTCGCTTTGCCTGCGCTTTAAGCCCTCGGAAGACCGACCCAGCGTTGAGTAGGGAATACCATGACTAGCCATGACACTGGGGTAAAGTTTGCAGGCTCTTCATGCATCTCAAATACCGCTGGTGTCGATTTCGCTTGGACGCTCCCGACAGATTTGGGTTCATTTCGCCCCCTCTGACTAAAAACATGGGCTCTATCTTTTCCGAAAAATAATAGCCCAGAGGTTTTCTCGCTGGAGTAGCAAACTAGTTGAGTAGGATATTCGTTTCCATAGATTAAGGGTAAACGCTAAGTACGAGGATGGCGGCAAAGAAGGAATTTTACGGGGAAAGGGCAGTGAGAGCGCCGCTCGTTCAGTTTCGATGCAAGTGGTGGCATTCCAAAATGATCTAAAGGGGGGGCCAAGTGCTTAGATTGGTACGAAATTGGTACGATGATAGTTCGGCTTTGGTACTCAAATATTTGAATGCGCCCTACAAAAATGTACTAAACTGTACCGACAAATTCCATTCCAACTGCTTGCAACCACTAACTCGACCTGCACAGCGATGTCTTCCTTTGCCTCACGTCCGGTAATTCTTGCTGTTGTTGTCGCTCGGCACGCTCAGCAGAGACGCAGGCGCCGGCTGTACAACACTGCGGCCAGTTCGGATCTCGCTGCGACAACGCAACTACATCATGTCCAAGTCCCTCACCCACCCGCGTAAATGCTCTTAGACAGTCATGCACAGGGTACGGTCTCGAAAGTCGTTTATTAATAAAGTGTCTATTGCGTCGAGCAATATGGACCGCTTATTGGTGGCATTCTCCCGATACTACATTGTCAAATCGGGCCCTGGTATACGCGGCCTTCCTCCTTGAATGGTGTCAAAGAACAATGTGCGGGGGTGTCCCGTTCTGTGTTGCTGATGGCAAAAAAAAACTGTAACGTCCAAATTCCAACTGACAGAGATACGCTGAACGCCTACTACAACGGTACATACCTATAATCTACTCACATAATTTATCTAGCTAACGATCCATTTATTCTGCGCAGGATGGCTACACGGTGTCATGTTGACCGGGGTTCTCTGTTACGGGTTTAATGGTACTCTCATCTGGGGAAAACATAATTTTCCAGGTTCGTGGAACGATGGAGAAATGCGTTACCAACTTCAACGGCAACTAAGCGATCCAGCAAAGACAATTGAGGGAGGGCGATGCGCTACCGACTCTAAGTTCCTGTAAGTGCAGCGATGACAAACCGAATATTTACGCTTCTCAAAGATGGGGATTTGGAGAGAGCAAGCTTGGAAAGCAGGGCAGGATTGCTGGCAATGGGTTCCGCCATCACTACGATTCGGCAAGATGCCGAATGGGGGTATGGGCAACGTATCAAAGTGCTACAGACAGCTCCTGTTGCCGCTGCTACACGATCCAGATACGCGCGCATAATGACTTAAAACATTTATCGTCTTTACAACTTTCGGGTACAAACTGCAGGTATTAATCCGTTTCGATCTGTTTGTATGAGTTAGGAAAGAAAAATATATATTTTACGCATGACATAGGGCTTGTTCTAATGTATGTATGCAAGTGCTAGAAGTGTGTTATTGCGCTGATGACGGGTCGAATCAGCATCAGCAACAAATTTAATTGTTGTTTTGGTCGCCCATCAACTTTGCCATGAGCATCAGCTTCAATTGTAGCGATTGCTGGTCCCGCATCTCTCTCTCCGCTGCTTGTTTCTCCTCGCGTTCGGCCTGCTCGCGTTGTCTTTCTTCCTTTTGGCGTTGGTACTCAGCATTGCGAGCAGCTTGACGTTCTTGCACCATGAACATCATGGCCACTATCGTACTTGAGAACTCGCTGGAGTTGTCCATGGTCATTTGGCAGGACGCCTTGTCTATAGCGGCGTCAATCCGACGATGGCGTTGAGCGGTTTGACTGAGCACATCAGCACTGGTGGCGTGGCGCTTGAGCTGTTTTTGTGCCAGTCGCTTTGATAGCTAGCGCTGCAAGCGAGCCATACCAGCGTGGGATGTAGCCACCAGCGCTGGAGCAGCCACACTCACGGCTTGAGGTACCGCTTGCGGCGTTGACGGCATGCTGTTGGTGATCGGCGGCGAGTTGGTGGAGGTCAGTGCCATGCTGTTGGGGGGCAGCGGCATCTCGTTGCGGGATGACTGCGCGTTGTTGGTGCACGGTGACGAGCCGTGGGTGGGCGGCGACTAGTAGTTGGTGAACGGCGACGTGTCGACGGGGGTCGGCGGCATCCTGTTAAAGGTCACTAAGTGACCACCGGAGAGTTAAGGGGTGCTGGGCAGTGACTGCATTTCCTTTGCGGCGTGATCGTAGGTCACAATAGCATCGTCTGCCCCGCTGGCATCAGAGGTGTCCAGCTCGTCCTCGCTGTTTTCCTCGGTACTAGAATCCAAATGAAGGGTTGCTACTGCGATTGAGGATTTAATCATACGCTTAAGACGCTTTGACCGCTCAATGTGAAGAGGGCATGCCCCGTTACCACTAGGTTTTGGCACTTTGTAGAGCTTCTTGAACTTCCGGCCCAGGCTATCACCGTCACGGTCGGCATGCCCGCTTGGTATGGGTGCGTTGTAACAGGCAGCAAAGATTTCCCACTGCTCACTGCCAAAGGGCAGCATATGCTCCACCAAGTCGATCACCCCTACAATACTTTTAACGTTGGTGGTTTAAGAGTAAAACGAGATAGCATCCAACTCGTACAGCAACAACATCAGACGTACTGTTATGATCGCTCAGCGTATAGTTCTTCCCCTTTTCTTGCGCCATGATGTCCGATGCGTGCAGGAAGGAGTGCGAGTTGTGCTTCGCGCGTGGAAATCGCTTTTGAACGATAAGACTGAAAGACGACCAGTAGTTCTCTCTAGAACTGTACTTTACGGCGGACCAACAGCGGAGTAAGGACTAAAGTTTGGTGATACTTTTTTTTTGCGTCTTAACAACCATTGGTCCGTGCTAGATACGCACTTGGTACGAGTTTACCCCATACGATTATGCAAGTGTGGGTCGTTGTTGGAAGTCACCCAGTGGTTTCGCGATGCAGTGATGCGATCTAATTTTGCTGAGTATGTGTGTGCTGTTACGAAGAAGTAGCTCTATGTAATATACATGTAGCTCTATGCGCCTATGAAAGCATTGGCTTGGAACGAGTTTACGACAGCCAAGTATGGCTAGCACGACGACAGGAATACCGGGGCGTTTCGTCTGGTATCGGTCCGTTCGGTGGTTCTGCGGCGAGGTGAGTTCGGCGCCACAGCAGCGGATTTTTTACCGTGAGCACAGGTGCGTGTGTGGCTACGTACTGTAGCGACCAAAAAATCTGAACGGAGGACCAGGAACCGCTAGTATGCTGTGGTCGTATCGCTACTCCATTTCCAAGATAGTCTGTAGTCTGGATCAACCATCATTTTCTCCGCGTTTTCATATAACTTTCTTTTTGAATACACTGAGAAACGGATTTTGTGGTTTATAGCCTCTTATTTAATAGCGTTGGCTGAATGGTTGTGCTGATGGCCCAATTCAATCCATATCTAGTCTAAATCGTTCAATGTGTAAATTTGTTATGAGTACGCGAAGAAATAGCTTCCGAAGAGTTCAACCTATAGACTGTCACTACTTCTTACGATTCAACACAGGCGATCGTGCTAGGATCTACGCCATGATTGCGAGAAAGCGTTACAGTCACTTAGGATCTGAAAAACACCGTACCTGCGGACATTTCCCAACTCCATGACGCAAAAACGAGGTTGCATCGATGCAGAAACAAGTGTAAGAAGTTCCTGGGGGACACGTTGGAAAGAGGGTCGAGCGAACATCACGGTGGGGGATGACTGAGGGAACTGGGTTAAACTAACTGTGTTAAACTCCACTCTTGCTCTGTTAGGCCGCTTTACAATCACATACAGCGAAGATAGGCTTTCGTTGACGGGGGAATCGTGGCTCCGAGTCAGTGGCAGCTTCGGCGAGTACAGGAGATTAACAACTACACGGTCCATGGGGCCGCTTTAATAGCTCATTTAGTTACAGACCAAATTTGGGTTGCTTTTCAAATGTGTTATGCAACGCTAGGATACAATAGTGCAAATTTACATTCACAGAAAACTCTGAGCAAAAACGGAGGAAACTACTTTATTCATACATGTATTCATAGTGTAGAGATATCAATTTCTAACCTGGACGTGAACGCCTCACGGAAAGCCGTAGCTTTCGTTGCGTTGAACTTACTTGCAACAAGTTCATGAACAGCACCGACCATTTACAATGGTTTCTTCTCAGCGACGTACTGGGCGAGCCGATGCATGTAATGTAGCATACAACGTATTCGTTCGTTTGATACGGCTTCGTAGCGTACGTAAACTTCACGTAGCTGTTCTGGGGGCGTCGTCCAGGAAATTGGCTGCGCTGAGAAAATAAAATCTCGAAGTACCTCGAGAACGCGGTGCGACGCGTGGTATTTCGGGAGAGAGTTGATATGGTAGAAAATCGTGGAGCCCGGTTGTAGTGACCGTTCAATCACAACGAAACTCCGGTGATCCTTACCTGAAATGGGTACAATCCCGAACTTGTGCGATGAGCAATCCAGATCACCAGGCCCACTGTTTTCGACCGCAGCTTGCTCGACCATGTTCTCGATCTCCGTGTAAATCGTTGTTCCGAGAGGCAAAATTAAATTCGGTATATCAGGAAGCTCCTTGCATATGAAATAGTTAACTATAGACTCACTCACTCAGTTAAAATACCCAAGCTGTCCAAATCGTCTTGAAAAACCGGAATTGAAATTCCCAACTGCTTCGACACCTTGTGCGTTAGGGAAACTAGGGGTACATTTTTATTCCTCACTTTGCACTTCTGCAAGGTCGGACGTGGCTCCTCTGTCGTCGCGACCACGTGCCCGACAATCTCGTTGCTGTCATCCGAGTCGACTTGCCACTTGCAGTCACAGGAGTTACACCGGTACAAATATCGGCAGACGTAGTGCCACCACTCAATTTCGGTTGTTCACCGCCATCACTGCTCGTAGTAACTTTTGGTTTGTGTCGACTGATAAACGTTACACCCAGATCCACAGACAACTCTCCTCCCTGTGCTCAAATTCGGGGATTTGGAAGTAGTACCGGCGCGGTCCGGGTGGCGTTATGAAGCCGTCCTCGCGAAGGCATCGGTCGTAATAGGTCAGCACGCGGACTGCATGACGCCATTCGATGCTTGCGGCCGACTCCGTCGGCACGATACCGAGTTGCTCATCTTCTGCGTCTACTTCATCCCAGCAGTGTTTTGATTTCAGTCGCTAAGTGTAGTCCTTGGAGTATCGAGCTTCCTAGCAGTTCTGGCAAGATTCCATTCCGGGTTCGCTTTACATTTCCGAAGCTTGGTTTTGATTTCAGCGATGGTCGTCTGTGCACACACACGCTTTGACATAGCGGAAATTATGGGAATTAATGAATGAGAGACGTGAGTTTGTATGCATACTTAACGATAGATTGATTTGGTTTACTACAGAAATAAGCTGTGTTAGTGCCAATATATACTGGATTACACTGCGCAAGGACGGGCTATACTGAGCAAGGATGTATTATACTGAGCAAGGACGGGTTACACTTGTGAACAAGGGCGGGTTATACAGAGCAAGGGCAGGTTACACTGAACAAGGACGAGTTATACTGTGCAAGGGCGGGTTATTCAGAGGAAGAGCGGCTCTTTTGAGAATAAATTGAAGTTGCCGTGCTGATATTTGAGTTTGTAGAGCTTGCATATTTTTCAAACGCTTGTTGTGAAGGAGTTCTGCCATACAATGGATTTGGTTAGGTGAACTCACAATTGGTCACGAGTCTTTTTACGGGTCCGAAGAGTAGCCTAATAAGACACTGTTTAACATACTGTGTAGTGAGTGCTATCAGCCGGGATCGCTTGATCTAGTCATATGAACAGTTACCTTGACACAAATGCTTCAGGTTCAACCACGTTCTGATGTAGATTGGCTTAAATTAAGTGGTGCTGATAAGATTATCGATAGATAATACTCCGAGTTTAGAAAAGATGACAACTTTAGTACGTACTAGTAATCTGGTTGTCTATACAACCGCACACTACATTTGAGTACTAGGCCTTGAATAGGCTTGAGATTTTGCCGCGCGCTCTGGTGATAATGTTACCTTTCGCAGACCATTACCCGCCTGTGTCATAACTTATTGATGACATACTCACAACATGTATTACACCAACGCGTCCGAAGCAGAGAGCTAGGGAAACAATAAATGTATGGTGTATGTAGACCTATATTATGGATGATGCCTCGGGTGTGACAAGGGGTAAGTACAACATATCCCTGTAGGCGCGTTACTCATCGCGACTAATTAAGCATACTAAGGGTTAAACAGAACAAATGACGTGTCGTTGAGAAAAGCGCAAGTAAGATGATAATAGGTTGTATGTACGGGAGCAGTAGGTTCGAGAGAACAGTAACCGACACAACAGTGTTAATATATACCTGATAGTTCGTTTACGGACGTTATACAAGAAAAACAGTCTGAAGAAGGCGCTGGGCGACCGGCAACAGTGCGCTAGCTAGTAATCAAAACAAGTCCCGTTCATAGAGATGTACATTACAGTACAATGTACCAGCACCGTTTTAACAAGCTCATCTCTACAACTTTCTTGACCGCTCGGGTGGGTGAGGAATCGCAGTGGTGTGGCCACATCTCTGCGGGCTCGGGAAGATGACAGCGTTGACGTAGCACTTGACATGGCAACCCATAGGGTAGCACAGCACGCAGAGCTACTTGGATAGGCACCTGTAGTGGTGATGGCGGTAGGCACTAATGGCGGGTAGTGCCTTAGAAGCGTAGGTTGGTCCAATAGGGTGGTAGGACCGTGGAAAGAGACCACGGGGGCACGAGGGCGCTCGGAGAAGAGGAACACCTTGGCCGTGTAGGAAGGGGCTGGAGCGAGCCATAACGGCACATGGTGGCGGAGATCTTCCAACTATGTGCATGGTGTATGTCCGGACTGGTCCTGCCGGAGGGCAGCCTGTGGATGCCGGAGCCCAGGCGACGAAACCGCTCCCTCCTTGCCGTCCCTGTATCAAGAGAGTCTGGTTGATGGGCCAGCAGCAGTTTGGGCGACTACTACGGCTCGCGCTTGCTGGCAGTCGGCCTCTACCCGTTGACCTAGTTGTTTGCCGTATCCTCTACAGGAACGGATCGGGAACGGTGGAGTTCAACGGGAATGGGAAATCGGTTGGCGAAAGGTACGTTAGTTTTATTCTACATCTGCAGGCCTTGACTGTTGAAACTTTACCTTCTCGACTGCGAATAGGCTCGCTTAGCCTACGACGTCTCCTACCAAAACCAGTCTCTGCCAGCGTCATTTAAGCAACCGATTTTTCTTCAATGCCTTCGTGCTGCCTAGGCAAAACAAAGTTTTAACTCGGTATGGGATCGCTCGCGGAACTCATGTAAACAATACAGCCGCGCACGAGAAACAATATGTATGTATTAAAGCGTTTGTGTTAACCAAGGCTCTAAACTTGGTATGAATGAAACGTTTATGCAGTGTTTCAACTTGACGCGTTTTCGAGAGCTTCAGAACGTCAGCGCTGGGCCTACTATCGTGGCCCTACCAACGTGCGTTTGTGCCTACGTCGCGCTTGAGTTGTTCTGCTTTCGTTTACGACTTACGAGTACGTCGCGTCCTGCCAAATCGACACAATTAGAGACTCGTAATGCGTAAAGTACGTGAACACAGCTGCCAAACGCATACCAATATCCGCATGGGCACCAACGTCGACGTAGATGAACAGGCCATCTAGTCAACAGCTGACCCTGGACTTCCATTTGAGCGTACTGAAACCCCATTTGTGCAGCCACAGCAATTTCAGTTTCATGGCGCTTGGTTGACGAAACATTCACCCGAGCAGCAGGCCCCTAAAGAACGTAGACCAGTATTTCACCGGCGTAGTAGGAAATACAGCGTCGCTCCGCATTTGTAATAGATTGTTGCGTGCCATGTCGTAATGACGTAGATGGGACCACAGTCGTGACAAACGGCCGGCTCAGGTAAGAATGATGTCGGCAGTATTCCGACAGCTCCCGTAGAAATGTTCCCATCTACAAACGGCGTCTCGTCGTGTAGTCCCTCTTTAGAATACTGTTGAGCGTTTCGGCAGGGTTGTTTGTGCTGGCAAAATCACTTGGAGTTGAAAGCACTTGCCAGTTTGAAAATCGCCCAAACAGCCATTACCCGCGTAGATATTCAACTAACGTCGAAAGGTCAGGCTTTCGAAGCCAACTGACACGAGGCGGTCCCCAGAAAATTGCCGACAATGTACCGTCGCCTCTGTGACTTGGAGTTTGTATCGGATGCTGATTGGTGGATGACTTGGATACGGCGCAGTTGTACCCGTGTGACAGGGATGGCGACTGTGGGAGAGAAGTGATTTCTCGGGATGAATCTAGCGCCTGACCGCAGATGGGCCCAACTGGCTGGAAGTGTGAATCCTGGGAGTGCACGCCCAGGATTTCAGAGAACACTCAGTCCAGCCGCGGACTTTCCCTTACGATGAGTGCCTAAAGTCAGGCGGAAAGTGTCTTTGGCGAATGTATCCCAGAGTACACCTCATCTTGCTGTGGCTCAGAGTGCCCCAGAGGATCAAATTACCCTGAGAATCAACCCACTACCACCATGATCATATGCAGGAGGCCGCTAAACCCGCTAAAGGTGTGGCTTTGTGGAGATACACGCGAGCCTGCAATGCAGCAGACTTGTTACCCAGAGTGCCGCACGGAAACCCAGAGTGCCGCACGATGACCCAGGGTTCACCTCCCTGAGTGCAGGTGACCCAGAGTTCCAAAGATGATTCTCTGGGTTTGGACCATAAATCCAGACTCTCTATACTAAACTTAAGTGTTTCCCAAGCCAACACCCAAGAATCCCCACAGCCCCCCAAGGCTCCTCAGAATTCCCAGGATTTCAGAAGATGACCCTGAGTGTCACCTGAGTTTCAGGGACTCGAGTCGGTTCGAAGCCAGTCTGCAATCAAAGTGATGCGTGACCTTGAAGAATCGTTGTGGATGCGCCGACTGGATACTTTCGAGGAGTCGAGAGGGAGTCCTGCACCATACTAAACCAAGTCTAAGGACCCACAATTGGCACTTTCGACGCCTTGCGACGATGGATTCGCAAGCCGATCGCAAGTTTGGACCGCTGAACCCAAGGTATACTCAAGACAAGACATTTGACCCCAAGCATAGTGAACGGCCCGAAGAAGAGAGAAAGAGAGAAGTAGCTGATAAAAACCAAACAGAGTTCATTTTACCCTGTACTGCACAAGTGACTTCGGCCAAGCCTGCCAACGGAAATCCGGAGGACCCGAGACTACGACCGCGGGACGCTAAGGGCACATCAACGGCGAAGGGCAGCCGTCTGTGTGGACTCCATCAAAACTCAAGTCCGGTTAGGTGGGGACCAGCGACGGCCTTGAGCTTCCTGGAGTGATCCATCTATTCCATATCCTAGTTGGGTCACTTGCTGTGCTCGTGGTAGCCCATTTCATATTATTCCAGAGGGTATTCTGGGGTGCTAGGTAGTCGCCTCCAGGATTTTGTATTGACTACTTGTGTGAAGGGAAGGTAACTGATAGTGATTGTATTTTCCTCCATTATTGGAGGTGGTGCGCGTTTGAGTCTCAGGGGAGCTAGGCCCCTGAATTTCAGACTCGAGTGAGCCTAGTGTGTGAGTGACCCACCGTCCAAGGGTCCAAAAGAATAAGTGACGGCTAGTTGTAGTGTGTGTATACTCTGTATTTGTTGGTTTTATCGAGCTAGGAGGGCATTTGGGTAAGGTGTCTTCCGAGTTCCAAGTCCCAGAGTTGACTGAAATCCTGGACCCTGAATTCGTGATATTCTGGTTTTCAGGGGATCTGATTCTCTGGGTTTGCCTTTTGGTGTGGAGGTGCGTGCTGAAGTAGACGTGCGCTCCCGCACTTCTTCGAGGCTACATTTTCAACCGGTGGAGTGCCGTTCCGTCGAAGACAAACGAGCCGACAGGGATTACACAAGGTACCCACGCCAACCAAGGAGTGTGATTCTCAGGGTTTAAAGCTTTGCGGCTGCGAATCTCTGGGTCTATCTTCTTGCTGTTGACTCTCAAGTCGATTCTCTGGGTCTACCCCTGGGGAACAGTCTTGGGCTGCGCTATACGAATCCCCCTGGGCGACAAAGGTTTCATCGGCCTCGCCTCAGCTGGTGCGCGTGCCCGGATTCGATTGTCGAGGATTTGACCGGAATCAAGTGTTGAAGAAGTCCTGAGTGCCCGTCAACTTCAAGCTACCAAGATGCCTGGAGGACGAGGGGCGAAGAAGAGTGGACGCGATGACGGAGGACGCGGTGAGGCGTCACGTCAGTCGCGTCGTGTTCAAGGTATTGAGCCTGAGGAGCACAAGGACCTGGAAACAGTCGTCCACGACCCTCGGAAGGCGAAGAAGGCTGCTCGCGAGAGCGAGGCAGTGCAAGGTGTGGACGGGGAGGCATCTGCCGTTCAAGATCAGCCTGCTGCTGGATCGCAAACTCAGGAGGAAGAGGTTTCCCCTGAGTTCCAAGGTTCGACGGAAATGAATTCTGGGTCGCGGATTCCTGAAGTCCCAGAGGAGCACACCCGCGAGCGTGGTGCTCAGGCGTCTGAGGGAGGCGCCAATGCGGTTGAGCCCCCGGAGGTGATTGACTTGGTCTCATCTTCGGACGAGTCCGTTGTGGAAGTGAAGCCGGAGCCCGTGCGAGCGAAGTAGGAGGCGAAGACTCAGAGTTTGTAACGGGGTTACACGGAGGTTACCCTTGTGGTTACCCTTTTGGTGTGCGATACACCAAGGGGTACTCCCTGGGCCACTAGCCAGTCATTGAGAATGAACTAGAGTTAGTTATGTGCAGGTATTTGCACCGTAGGCGGCGGAGCCGCAGATAAGAGAATGAATACAGTTTGCCTTTTGCAAGAAGTCTCTGACTTGTTTTCGTGGGTCCTCGGATAGGACCCTGTTGGACTCTTTGAGTCGTAAAGTCTTCCTCTACGCAAGGAGCTACGGCAGCCCCGCTGCAGAGTTCCAAGGTGAATTCTGGGTTCGCACCACCTGAACCCAGAGTTTCAGCGCCAAGTTCGCAGGCGGCACCTAGGAAGACGCCTGAATGCAACATCCGGGAAGCTGCTGCGCCTGCTCCGGAATCGGAGCAACGGCGTTGAACGCTGAAAGCATGGTGCTGTACGTCCGACGTGAGGTTCGACGCTGGGAAGAGGTGAACCCTGGGAAGGTGACGCCGCCAAGTGTCGTTTATGAGTGGCCGACTCCGAAACCGGATGCCAACTCGTACTTCGCGGCCGCGTACGCAACGGGAGACTACTTCAAGTGGCGATTGTCTCTGGCGAACCAGGATGAAGCCTGGGTCTCTGAGTTTCACCTTGCCCGGTGGGGTGTCGGAACTGCCCAGAATCTCATGGCGACTACAATTCCCCAGAGTATCATGACCGCACGCGAGTGCGTCGCCATTCTGCAGACACTGTTCTTCGAAGCCGGATTTGAGTTTGTCAACTCGATCCCTGGCTGGTCTTCGACGCGTGCTTCCAGGATTCCAGAAAGTCTGGTGCGCTCTGTCATGGAGGAAACCCAGAATTTCATCGCCGTGGAACTGGTCGAGTGGAGATTGGTGATAGCTGGTGTGCCTTTCAAGGTAAACTCCGAAGATCACGCCGCACCAAGCGCCCAAGAGCAAGCACCAAGACTGGACTACCACAAGGAAGACGGAGACGGTGATCTATTGATGACGGACTACGATGCGGATCTACTGGGCCGACAGTTTGTCCTGAGATTCAGAGTCACTGGACTCAGGATTTCACGGAGCTCACTTGTGTCGAGTGATGGTGAGCCGCGATCCAAGCGCACTCAGCATGGACCGCCTCGCCTGCAAGTCCCGTCGACGCCATCCGCGCTGTCTACATCGTCACTGTCCTCTCTTCCAGCGTACAAGTCTTCAACTGGTGCCTCGCTTCAGAATTCCACTCCCCTGAATTCCATATCCAATGGACGTGATTCTCTGGAGGCGGAAGCCAAGGACGCTACCCCAGGCGCGGTGCCAAGTGTCATCCGTACCTCGCGCGCTTCGGATGAGAGTACTGCCTCGGGCGTTCAAACGTCTTATGGTAGCTCTTCATCTTCGTCGATGATGTCGCTTGGACGACGAGTTGGAGCTCTAGCGCTTGTGGCCCAGAGAGCCGGTGGCTTCGCAGCTGCCGGTGATCTTGGATTTCAGGTCACCCGGGCAGTCATCCCGTCGCGTCTTGTGTCAGTCGACCAAGATGACGTTGAGATGGCATCGTCGGTGCACTCTGACCCAGAGATCGCACCCGGGAAGGCCGGTCTCCCCAGAATTTCAGCCACGATGGCTGAGCCGAAATTCAGGGTTTCTGCCCCGATTTCTGGACTTGGTGGTCCGAGGGATGTCAGCGCCGATGAGCGGAGTCAACACCAGAGCTCTAGGAGCGAGGTGCGCTTTCGACGCTCGACGAAATCCAGAAAATCCGCTGCGTCGAGCCGCTCGAGTGGATCCAGAAATCTTAGATCAGTTTCGTCCGTGTCCGCGACGTCTGGCCCCGCCCAAATCGAGCTGAACGTCTTGCGACAACAGCAGGAGTGGCAGGCCCGCTTGGAACAGGAGCAACGCGAGTTTCTCGCCAGAAAACGTTTGGATGCCTTGGAGCGCGAGCGCCTCAGGGAAAACGTGACCTGGACGCGCGTCGACAGATCCAAGAACTTACGGATCGCTTGGTCCACGCTGAGATCGCCCGAGGAGAAGGGGAACGGCGTGCGCAGGACGTGGAAGCTCGCCAGACCCAGTGTTCCACTGAAACTCAGGGGATGACCCAGGGTATCACGGAAGCTGTAAGTCTTGAGCGTGAGCGCCTGGACGCCACCAACGCCGAGCGCTGGCAACAGCGCGAAGCCGAAGCCGACTCGGAGCGCGCGCGTTGGGTTTCCGAGACGTACGCTGGTTGGAAGGAAAAAATGTCAACTATGGAGCAGAAGGTCCAAGAACTTGAGGCGGAGAGAGAGCGAGAGCGGGAGTCTTCCGAGAATATCCAGCGTTTCCACGCTGGCCAAGTGCGCGACCTTCGTGCAACGTTGGCCCAAGTTCAAGCGCGTCGCGCAACCGTCGCCCCTGATTTGGCAACAAATGTGAGGTCGTCAGTGGCTCAGAACCCTGAAGTTGCAACCCGACCCCAAGAATCCAGTGGCGTAATCAACGGAAACGCAAGTGTCGCTGGCCAGAGACGGGAGACAGCTGATCCGAAGAACACTTCCGAAGTCGCCGCCTCCCAGCTAAGAGCGACCCTCGCGCAGACTTCCGCCGACACTTCCGGCAGAATCGCGCGCGTCAAGCGGGGACATGGCGCTACGGAGACCAAGGTGATGCAGGATGTCAAGCTGTCTCTGGGGAAGACGTCGGATCCCAGGAGAACAGTGGCCTCTAAGGCCTCGCAGGACTCTAAAGCAGACTCCAAGCGCTCTGCACCCAAGAAACACCAGCAGAAGAAGAAGCGTCAGGATGTCAATCCACCTTCGGACTCAGACCCAAGCTCCGATTCCAGCGATGATGACTCGTCCTCTGAGAGTTCGGATGACAGTTCGGACGGGAACCCTGGGGTAACCTGATGACGGCTTCTACGGCTCAAGCTTGCACTACGCTCCTGACGTTCAGACCGTACATCAACTCGAATACTCTGGGTGAGTTCGATACTAAGGCGTCACTCAGGGAACGCGTGCATTGGTGGGAGCGTTTTTGCGAACATGGCGGCTCAGGGAAGCTGGTCTACGAAGATGCGAATTCAGGAACTCATGTTGGAACTCTCGGGAGCGCGTGACTGGTTCAACAAGTTGCCCAAGTACACTCAGCGTGACTGGAAGGAGTTGGCGTCTGCATTCAGGAAGAAGTACTGCAAAGCGCGCTCGTCGTATCTGAACGCTACTTCACGATGGAGATGAAGACCTCAGAGAGCGACCTGGATTTCTTTTATCGTCTGCATTCCGCCGCTGGGAAGGTTGACATTGACTTTCGCAAGTCTTCGAAGCGTCTGGAGAAGCATATCCGGAGGTTCATCACGAAACTCAGGGACACACGCCTCAAAACGTCGTTGCAGGGCCAGAGATTCAGGAGTATCGCTGATCTAGAGTACGCTCTGGAACAGGACGAAGAGGTCTGGAGTCGCAGCGACCATGATGCCCCGCCACCCAGAGTTCGTGACTTTCGTGCCGACAACATTCCTCAGGGGCGTTTCAAGCCGAAGCGTGCAGGACGTGCGTACGTGGCTAGGGGCGATGTCTCTGACTCTGAGTCGGATGAAGACCCTGAAATTCACGCGCGTTTTCAGGAAATCAGGGACGAACCCAGAGTTTCAGTTCGAAGTGCGAGCGCGAATTCAGGGTCAACTCGTGAAATCTCTGGAGAAGAAACTTCTACGTCTAGCGCTGGGAGCCTGGCGAGTATGAAGGGTGCCGACTGGACTCAGACGCTGACGAACGAGGTCTATCGCGTGATGGATAACATGGGATGGCGTCCACCGAACGTCCAACCAGGACCGAGCGCGAACTCTGGATTCCGTTCCCCTCGCCGCGAAAACCCGAATTGGGACAAGTTCTGCGAGAAGTGCGGTAAGTGGGGGCACCCAGAGGAAAACTGCTGGAAAGACGTGAAGTGTGATCGCTGCCTTGAAGTGGGTCATCCGACTCACTTGTGTCGCGCGCAACCGTGCGAGAACTGTGGCAAACTGCATCTCGGGAAACCGTGTGAAGACTGGAAGACACTGGAAGCTGTGAAGAAACTCGCCCGCCAAGGTGCACTGAAGGACATGCCGAGCCAAATCCTGGATAAACTCCTGGATGGCGAAGCAAACTCTGGGAGGCCGTCAAACCAATAAGCCCGCTGGGTGGGGACCCAGTACGCGCCGGGCTGAAGAAGGCCCCAGAGTTATGTGTTCTAGTGTATGTAGGCCCGGAGCTGAGAACAAGAACCCAAGATAACCAACAATGCATGACTACTTTGACTCAGGATTTCATGACTTCCCCTGAAACTCAGCATCCTGAACAAGCGAACTCTGGGTCGGTGAACTCTGAAAAAAATGTGGAGTACAAGCTGAACCCTGGAGAGCGCTACGGATGGTGGGAAAACAATGATCCTGACCAAAAGAAACGTGATGTGGCGATGGTGCATGGTGCTGTGAACGACTGCCGGACGAGAGTTCTCATGGATACCGGTGCGCCTGTGAATATTGTGAGCTTCGACTTAGCGCGTAAGCTCGGACTCACACTCAAGTCGCACAAGCAAACCAAGGTGTCTGGCATGGGGGGCGTTCCGACGTACATCGGTGCCAGTGCTCAGGTGAAGATTACTCTCGGTTCGAGGGTGATATATCTCCTGGATCTCCTGGATGTCTGGATTGCTAACATCGGCGAAGGGATCGAAGTACTTCTGGGTATGAGTTTTATGTTTGCAGCTGGAGTGAGGATCAGTGTTCGCGAAGGTCTCGTGACACTTCCGGATGAAGAGGCGATCACGATGTGTGGATGGACTCCAGAAGATCGCCTGGGTGTCGACATGCCCGTGGAAACCACAGGTAGTTGGTACCTGGCCCCTGGGGAAACCAAGGTGGTGAAGATTTCGTATGGACCGACGAACCCACAGCGTGAAGTTGTGTGGGCAGGACGAGGTGACCGCTGGGTAACGCACCTGATTTACGCTGCGAGAT